CGTTTCGGATGCTTTGCAGTAGAGTCACGGGAGACTCCCCGTTCAAATAAGTTTAATGCATATATCGCGTTTTAAACCGTTAAAGTGTTTTTATTTAAATGTGTATTACTCGCGTAAACTACAGACAGTAATGGACGGACTGTGACAAAAAAGGAGTGCTGAATCTATTGATTGACTTGTAATAACGGGATAAAGTCAATTCCATTTGAGAGACGCAATTGTGTGTCTACTGTCTCTACTTTGACGGAAATCCTTACTAATATTATAAATACGAAAGTAACTCTGTCTGCCTGTTACTCTTTCACGCCAAAACTACTGAACGGATTTGACGTTACGCATACGCATTTTATTGCGAAAAGGGGGTTGTAAGGGGTTAAAAGGGGGGGTAAAAGTTTGTATGAAAATTCGTGGTTTTTGAAGCTAGAACAATGAAACTTTCTTCTTTGGCTTTTTGGGAGTGGGAGTAGGGGTGGGAGTGGGAGTGGGAGTTAGAGTAGAAGTGATGTGAGGTGAGAGTGATGCCGCAAAGTAGCACTTACAACATCTGTTGGCTGCGATAAATGTGCAATTACATAAATTAATAAACAGATTTAATAATTAAAAATTCTACTCCGAGTCACTATTCCACGCGAACGAAGTCGCGGGAACAGCTAGTGTTTTTATAAAAGTCAGACACGACATATTTATCGTTCTTTTATGATTAGTTAAACACCTAAATCGGTTTTACCAATCCTAAATTGTATAATTATTACTTTTCGGCCGCTGGATATATAGGATATATATGGATATATATTGAGTTTTCCAGCTGTCCGACCAGCGAAATGGGAAATTGTTCTCGACGTTTCTCTATCACGAGACCTCGTGAGTCTATCTGATGGTGCCACCACAAAACAAACTTACAATGGTTTTACATCCCCAGTTCGAAACGTTAGTAGCTTATTTAAAATAAAATACTTACTTTTAAAACGAATAAATTGTGTGCTGCTTTCACGGCCATCATTCAGCATATTATCATTGTTTTTCGGGCTGTTCGGCCGACGTGAGCGAGAAGAGGTTCTGGACGTATCGCCATCACGTGCGCACGGCATCATCAGGCGATGTTAACTCCCCGATTGCTCGAAGAATTTTTATTTTATTTATAATTCTTCGAGCTGTGACATGATATTTAAAACGATTTCGGATTCTTTGTAGCAGGCATCCACGCCACGTAACATAAAACATAAACTATAATATTATACATGTAATCCGCGTTTTAAACCGTTAAAAGTTTTTATTTATATGTATTCTACTCGCGTAAATTACAGACAGCAAATGAAAGACGAAGGAATGTCCTAGGTTCAAAGATCTTCCTCAACAAACACGATAAATTGTTTAAGTATGGACTTAGTAGGCCGCCCTATAGACTACGTACATACGTCGGTTGACCTGTCAGTTATCACCTAGCTATACGTCTGTAAATAAAATCGATGAAACGAATAAGAACTAAGACAGCACTTAACCAGTTTTGGGAGATTTAACTTAAATTTTAATACAAATTATATTTGCATTACAAAGATTATAAACAAGCAATATATTGTTTATAATCTTTATGATGCAAATATGGAGTTCGTTGTTCGATAGTCACCCACACACGCGCGAGCGAGACAGACATACCAGTGCACGGGAGGAAGAGAGATAGATAGTTATTATCACATTGGTATAATGCGATGCGTAGGAATTTGAGAAAAACGCATTTAAATTATACAAACGTATCTGTTGTTACAGATAATATTGTTATTTTGAATTTAATGTTGTAGAGTGTATCCTCATTTAAAATGATGAAAGTAGATATTATAAATCAAGATGGAATAAAATCGATTTTATAAAAAAAAACGCAATGGGTAGGATATCGATTAAAATGTTTTGTATGTGTTATTTAATATTTATTTGTAATATCCTTGTTTTAATATACATAAAGATAATTGATGATTTGAATGTATGTATATTTTTATTAAAAATTAAAACATCAGTTTAAAATGCTGTTTATTGCTTTCTTATATTAAGCGTACTAAATTTAAATGGGATCAAAATGACTACAAGTGACATCTAGTGTCATATAATAAAGTATGTACGTCAAGATAAACAAATTTGTGTGCTGGTTTCAGTTCTTAACAAAACTGATAGATGGCGCTGGACTTAAAACCACGTAATGATATTTTAAAACAAAACATACATACTTATTATTAAATAATTGTTAATATACCAATGTGTGTCAAATTACATTAAAGTAAGTAATTAATTATTGACAATTTAATAATTATCTGCAGAGGAGAATACATTGTTTATGTAGTTGTGTTGAGATAATGAATAAAAGCACAATACTAAAAATACAATAGTATTTTAATTTTAAAAAGTATGTAATCTAGAAATTTATTATCGAATTCTTTATCATGTAGGTAGGTGGATTCCAAGTTGTCAATGTCTCCTAAGTATATATTCTTATTATATACAGTTGATTCAAATTTCACAACTTAGAAATTTAAAAAGCTATGTGATTTTACAAAGGTTTTACATTCTGAAACTGGATATAATCTACCAACAATCTATATTAATCGAATGATAATATTTTTCCTGGATTAGGGAATTCCTACAAAGATGCAAGGGTTTTTACTGTTTACTAGTGTTTTAATTACCTTTTTTTAATGTATTATAATAATAATATGCAACTCTAGGAACAACAAATTTAAATCACACACTTCTATAATCAGTCACTTAAATATTAATTTGTTTACGGCCAGAACTGCTACACACACTTCTCGACCTGGAATGTTGTTGGACCCAGCACCAGCCAGCGAGTCTATGATTTAGCTTAAATGTTAAGTCTCCAATGTATCAGGCCAACACGAAATCGTTTTCATAGAACATTTTATCATTTAACATAGTTAATGTTTTGAAAGGGGACATTTTGTTTTGAGTATATTAGACCACTTTGTTTAGATACTTCGAACAAAAAGTATAACATAAATTGTATTTCATTATTTGTTTTTTAATGTGTTGTATGTTAGAATTTTTATATTGCTTTTTAAGTTATCATGAACACACTACACTACATAGTAGGACTGTCTTTGAATAAAAGCTAGCATTATAGCTTGATTTTGTAATACTTTTGGACTTGCTAAATTATTGTACCTAAGTAGGAGTACAGTACCGCAATACTGAACTCCACGTACTTCTGTTTCTCAAACACTCGGGACTTCTAATCCTTGTTGTAATTGTCGTTTTGTAAAATTTGCGTTAGAAGCTTATTTTAAAGTTCTCGAACAAAACAAAAAAAAAAAACTATTTTACTGTGATTTACCACGACAGTAGACACAAATTACGTCAACTTTGTTCATTTTAGTGTTCAGTATACGATAAATTTGGAAATAGTGAGGGGATAGTTTGGTACCTTATAGTTTTGTAATGATTATCAAATTACCCTTAAAATCGATATATGAGTATTAGTACCTAAGTAACAATATTAGTAATATAAATATTTAAATGTAAACATATAATAATTTATTTCGCTTTCTGCTCCATCTTTTTTTTATGTAAAATATTATATTTTCTCCTCCATCTATTGTCTTTTGTAATAAAAAAAAAAATGTTAAAGCTTACATTAGTACGTAGGGAGTGGCTGTCAATTACGTACGATATTCTTATTGTTATCTGCCTTTACTTAATTCATAGGCGTGAACATTTAAATGTATTCTATATTAGATAAATCATTAAATCCAACGTATTTTAGTAGTAATAGAATTAGTTGCCAATATCGGATGCCCGTACAGATAATTGATATCAACTACTTTACAGTAATGGCAGGTGTCGTTTGAAGCTCACTATCGAGAACATAGGAAATGCCAGAAAATCCGAGTTAATTACAAAAAGATAGTCCCATAGGTGATACTAAAGTACCTAATACTATAACTGAATCTCTGTTTCAAAGGGTCCTTTCTAAGAAGTGGTAGGTAGCGTAGCCAAATGAGCCAGCGTAGGTAAATATTTAAAACCATTAAATTGTATATAACAAAAGACGGATCATAATGCGAAGAAAACTTATTGCCTAGGTAAGATTTCTTGCTTTTTTTATAGATATTTTTTATAAAACTAATCTAAAAAAAGCATAATTAGATTTTGACATTAGCCAACGAGCATCAGTGCAAATAATAATTATACTTGTTATTTTGTAAATAGTTCACAGTAGGTATAGCACTTACGAACTCGTAAGTACAAAATATACGTACTCGATTACTTTGTGTATGAGAAACGTTATTACCTAAGTACATATAATCAATTAATATAATTTATCATAAATACTGTCTATAGTTTACGCGAGTAGTACATTTAAATAAAACACTTTAACGGTTTAATTTATCATCTAACATTAATACAATAGTATTAAGGTATATGATGGTAGCCATTTTTATTTCCACGTTAGGTGGGGTATAAATGACGGGGTAAGGCTTATAAGCAGGTTCTATTTATTAAGTTAAGTTAAAAGCGTCATTTTACGATAAATGTTGGTCTTTTTTATGGATTGGAAAGGTGTTTAGTGGGAAATATCTATTGAGTAATTGATGAACATGTGATTATTCCGTATAACAACCTTCTATCTGAATTTCTTAGACATCCTTATATTGTATAGGTTACGTTCCTACATAATTCAATAATTAGAACCACGCGTACGTTAGGAAAAATAATAAAAAAGTGCTCCGTGGGGCGATGTGTGAATTGTGTGCTGATGTGTAGCAACTGGCAACGTGGAGAGCGTGAGGAGTGCTAATATTTTATATATGTTGTTTCAATTTACACATCCAGAAAGACAAGGACAGCACTAGCGGTAATAATAATACCTCAGAAACGCTAATTTCGTTCCTCGCGCCCTTTCGTGCCGTTCTTAGCAACCGGTTTTGTTTGTGGAACGGTCATAAAACAAGTCCACCAATAGCAGCCTACCATCGGTAGCAGGCGTATCATTGGTGATGGGTATGGAGAGCGCTAGGCGATGCGGGGTGAGGAAGTCGAGCGCGGGGAGAGGGTTGAAACGCTCGGCGCGCGCAGTTACTTCAGTTGTGTTTCACCATTCGAAAAGGAGGTTATTGTTGCAATGAAACGGGCACTGCACTGTCGATAAAGTGTGTTTGTATGTCGTTTTCGTCGATAATACCTAAGTGTTGTGTTTACTTTCACCTGTGCGAATGTCTCAATCCTTACCTTTTTTGTTTGTTTTTAATTTTATAACTGCCGCATGGGTCGGCGATTACGTTTCAGTTAACCCCTTATTTTGAAACGATGGAACGTTGTTCTTATGGTTTTTACACCAAAAGGTATTTTATGTTACTTTTTACTTTATCGTTGCGAATGGTTGTGGTTGAGTGCGCCGCGTGTGGCTTAGTGAGATAAACTATATTAAGTGTGACAGTTTTTATATTTCTATACGTGTTTTGTGAGTGGGAGGGTAGTCAAAACTATTTTTAATTATTTACATAATAGTCCCTTTATAATAAATACGTCTTTACATACCTGGAGTATATTTTTTTTAAAGGGAGATGGTATTATTATTGCAACGCTTCGGGGAAATGCCGACAATGTGGGGCTCTCGTGCCCGAGGGTCGGTTGGCGAGGGGGGGAGGGTTCCGTCTGTCTGCACACATGCAGAACCGGTTCGCTCTCCAACTCCCCTAGTGCGCTTTATATACCTCTCTCTTATGCCACACGTGTTCGTATAATGCCCTCTCTTTCGCACATTTCATTATTTTTTTGCTTCCCCTTGTGAAATAATGCCAGACGAGCCGTTTTTATTTGGGTTTCTTACCCTAAATAGGTTTTTAACCTTATACTTATTGTAGTCTCGGTAAGTATGACGAGGAAAAAATCTATGGTTCTTCCTAATACAAATACTACAATAACATAAACCTTTATCTTTCTACTAATGACTATTACCATTGAACTAATACCAGGACACAAAAAAAAACATTATTAAAATAGTTACATATCTGCATGCACAACGAAAATCATAGTTCATTAATTATATGCTATTATCACTCTAGCCCAAGATTACAAGTTAAATAAAACTTAATTTTAATTTTATACATTTTTAACTAAAAGTCAATCCTTATATTTATTAATTTTTAAGCGCTGCGTCTAAATACAGTTATAATAAACACCTGTTAAATGTAATCGTTACAATCTATGACAATAACTATATTGTACATCCCTATTGTTAGTTACTCTGTAGACGCTATTTGAATTTGTTGTGTTTTCTGTTATCATAAACATTTGTTTTATTGACATTGACATTGATTAATGACACCATTAAAATCAATTTCGGAATGTTGTGTGGTATTATTTTATTAAACTTTTTATTACGCTATATCATTTCAGAAATTAGTTTAATAGCAATTTGTTTATAAAGAAAGTATTTTTCTTGTCTAGTACTATTCTAAATTATTATTTGTGCACGTTTCTAGCGTAATTATATGTAGACTTGCACTTTTTCCGTTAGAGCTGAAATATGTAGTATTATTCCGGTCTTCCAGACTATTGTTGATGTTTTGTTCATTTTGAACGTTAGAATCTTGGGCAATGGCTGATAAATACAGGTACTCTGACAAAACGCTTAGCATGAACACTTAAAAACTCGTCCGAGTTGATGCGAAATTTCTTTTTGTTGTATTCAGAGGCTTTATCTTTATTTCCAGATCTGAAATATTAGAGAACATACAAAAGAAGAAAGAGCAAGATAAAGATCAGCCACAGAGTCCAAGTTTTCAACAGCAACCGCTACCCAAGCCACCTGAGAAGGAAGGCCACACACCGGACGCTCCAAGTGCAAGTCTAGTCTCTCAACATGTTCCCACACAGCTTCTATCCCCTTCTCACAGCTCGAGCACCTCAGTTCAGCCAAAGGAAGATGCAAAAGACAAAACATTGAAGGTTACAAACTCGACAACGATAACACTTATAGAAAATAATAGTATAAATGGTGATAAAGATAAGGATAATTTTCCAAAAAACTACTTCACATTAGAGCCTAAAAACGACAAGAAAGATGACCTCAATAAGAATAGTATTACAATAACAAGAACAGTCCCAAAACAGTCCCCTGGGTCGGGGTCGGCAGACAAAGCAAAAGGTGCAGCAAAGCCAGCCAAAAGGCCTCTGCAGTACTTAGAGACATTGGCACAAAAGGCAGGTATCACTACAGAGGACAAATACGAAGCTGCAAACACACTATTGGCATTAGACAAGCAGAATAACACTTTTAGAAGGCCAGAGCTTAAGCAGCCTAAGTCGGAACCAGAGACCCATACTCAGGCCGAGGACTACAGATATAGAAATCAGAAAGAAGAAGATGATAAGCTACAGGTACAATACATTTTGTTATTACTACTACCATTAGCCAGAAGAATAATGCATTTTCTTATATATGTAAAATTAAATAAATAAAAAAATTTGTTTAGATACAGCAGCAGATAATTCAGCAGCAACAACAACAGCAGCAATTGCAGCAGCTCCAGCAACAGCAGTTGCAGCAGCTCCAGCAACAACAGATTCAACAGTTGCAGCAACAAGCGCTTCAGCGACAACACCAGGCTATTCAACAGCATCTGAAAAATCAACAGGATCAGCAAGAGTTGGTGAGTTGTTTTCTTTTTCTATGAATTATGCGTTAATATTGCTTTTGGGCGACATTTTTTGAATCATAAGGAAACATAGTTTTATCTAACAAAGAACAGAAATCTGTTAATAAATTCAATGAAAAATGCATTTGTCTCATGCCCCACTTAATTTGTTTGTGTTGAAATTTAAAAAGAACAGAAATAACGTTTTTATGGTTGTTTCAATGGGAACAAATGCATACGACTTATAATTTGACAGAAAACTTATAACAGATCATTGTCAGAATTACTCATTCTTCAAAGTTCTTAAACATAATATATTATATATAATTATTGTATGTCTATAGTGGTTACATAAACAACAACCGATATAACATTAATAATGTGTTGAAGTATATTTTTTTAAATAACTGTATGTGATATGGAATTGTAAAAATAGTGCTTCAAATTTTAATCAGTTATGTTATGTTATTAATGAAATTAATAACAAGTAATTTAAAATAAAGAACATATTCTTTATATAAAAGTAAAGTTACATAGGTTTAAGGTTCACATATATATTTTTTATAGAAAATTATTAATATTTTTTTTAATAAAACAAATATTTCTATTGGTTAATAGTAATGTCACTTAAATTTAAAATATAGTATTAGTTTTAATGTAGCTTATGTTCCTATATGCTAGCGGTGGCCAAGTATGATGTATGTCATTGATAAAGAAATAACAAGGACTTGGCCGAAATCTCTAAGGCATTTTTTATATAGTCGCTTCTATAGTGCAATATATAGAAGCTATAAGTTACAGAATATTGTCTAGTAGCCTAGTACTAGCAGCAACTGTGAAATAATCTTAATTAATAAGCCGGGTACTCACTAGCAACTTGTAAGCGTAACTTGATTGTTACTTACCAACTCCACACACGTTAGCGTACGTCATATACAAATGTTACCGAACAATATTAAATATTGTATACTAGCTGTGTCAGCGACTTTGTCCGCGTAGTAATAGTTATTTTAGCCATCAAATTTGTTTCAACAAACCTGTTCAACTCTATAAATTTAAGCTAGCTTTATTGCAAATTAATCTTAAAACATAGACATATATGTCGCGGACATTTTTTAGATCATTTATAGAGGCACTATCTTTATTACATACTTTTTGGGTACCTGTTTGTTATATCGATGATAGCTTTAAGCCCTTCTCGATAAATGCTCTAACGAACTCAAAAATGATTCGAACCAGTAATTCGTGAGATTAGCGCGTTCAAACTAAGAACTCCTAAGCTTTATAATATTAGTATAGATTATTGATAACATACACTGTAGCAATTTTGGTTACATTCGCTAGTGAGTACTCGCCTGTAGACGTCTCCAACGCTGTTTACACGTCATATCCCAACTTTGCCGACAAGTTTATCGCGATGTTTTTTTACCGTAAAATCACAAGCGCCGCTCGTCACTTTCGCGGTATAATGGTATAAGTAAGGGGGAACGGAAAGTAATGTCGGTTTCTCACACTGAACACAAAATTCTTTAACTTGACTTAGAATTAGGAATTATTATGTAATAATTGAGAATAAATTTTTACAATCGCTGTTACACTTTGATTACCAAAATATTGACAAGATTGGATCAAAAATAATTTCTCCATATTTACCAGAAATAGCGATTAATTTTTATGGTTTGGGTGGCGAAAGGTTGTAAAATAATGGAGCATACATGATTTGACAGCCTAGTTGGTCTAGTGGTAGCAATGTATTAATAATCAAAGGTTTATATTTTTTTTCAAACATGTTTGACTTCTCGTAATCAAGATATTAAATGGATTTGAACTGTCCTTGTCCTGGTTTTGAACTATCGTCTACAAATAAAAAATTCGTGAAGTTTAATTGCGTTTGGGTTTCAATTTGTGGCTTTCCAAATATCCAAAGTTGAAATAGATGGACAGCGTACCTTATAGAAATGTTAAATGGCTGAGGTGCTTCACCAATGATCTTTTCTGTCCACTTCTATCATAAAAAATGTACGTGTAAGGAAACTACACTACTTTCCGGTCCTCCAATACTTGTGTCTACTCATATTGACATAATTTGGCATTGTAAATAAATTCCTTAGCGTTTCTTATTTATGATAAAAATAGCGATCGAATAATCGATGGTAATAAAGTCATATAAGCAAGCTTTACCTAGATTTAGATTAGGGTTGGTATTGATAAAACTTTTTGCGAAACTTCAAACGTTTAAGTAGCGCACGCAACTGGGGTTAATTTTAATGGATATTGGTGTTATGGAGACCATAGCGTAAATTAATTGGGAGGAATATCGACAAATCTATAGATAAAGAAGCGGACAGTGACAAGGGCCATTTTCAGTGTTGATTCTCAAAATGTCTTAAGAAACAGTTGATAAGATTTCACCTTCCACCACGTCCACCCTCTGTCATAAAGAATCTTCGCCACAGATCAGCTATAAACATTTAAACCATATTATCTATTTTAATAATTGCATGCATTTTCTCTTGTCCTTGTATACGCGAGGTAAATAAATGTGTATATGACTTTTTTTAATAACACTCTCAAACGTAATACGCTCCGTGTGTGTGTGTGTCAGTTCTGTGACTAGAACGTGGGATTACATTGTCTGGATTTCGTTTTTTTCCACCCCTCGTGGGGTGTTCAAAAAGGTCTTTGTAAAGAAGGGCGAAGTTTTTGTGCCTATTTATTACATCAGTTGGTGCGGTTACTGCAATTTTAAATTCCACATATGTACTATATCGATGCCTAATATCGATTTACAATCAATCTAACTTTATTTAAAAGCAAAAACAATGATATCAGTCGGACTTAGACTTGAGGTATATCGTGACGTGGCTAAGAAATGTTTGTCTTCAAACATGAGTGGTCGAGGTCTCAGGTAGTGTTAGTTTTCGACATCGTATACTCGTCCCAGTCCCTTTGAGTGAATCCACAGCAGGCATCTTCCTTAAAGCAGGTAAAGATAACGACGCTACAATCCATCACGTCTTATATACATCTCAAACACAACCATAGGCGGATGTTTTGTTAAGAGAATTTAGTATAAGTTATTGAAGAATAAGTAATTATTAATTTAAAAAGAAACTTATTACAGTAATTATTTGTATCAATGTTATTGTTTTATGTTCTAAAGGAAGGAATACACTTGTCTCTTTCTAACATATGCAATATTATGTTTTTCTCTCGCCTGTACAAAAAATGCAGTACCCAATAAAGTTCTTGTATTCATATTTCGAAGCTTAAATTGACAGTAGTAAAAAAGCGTAACAACCGACGCCACAAAGGGCGCCATCACGTCAAATTTATTCTATATTTAATTTAACCTCGTAAAAGTCTAAACACGAAAAGCCATTTTGATATTTTACAATCTGCCATCGTGCGGTCTACGAAGATCTTTCGAAAGCTTAGCTGTCTCGCTTCAATGCAATTAAAATTCAGTGTGTCGGAACGAGACAGGCATTATTTATTGCCTCTCCTCGCAACGGGCATAATGTGTACATCTGACCTTGTCATCACTTTTAGTTTTATGCGCTCGAATCGGATTTGCCACCATAACAGGGAAATTTACATGACGAAGTTCGTGAATGATATTTTGTTAGACGTATATTCCTCTCCCCTCGTCGTTTCCCCACATTTTGTAACAGTGAGCTCTATATAGGGCGAAGGGATGTTTCAAAAGCTTATATACCAGAATTATTATTTCCCTGGGGCTGCTGCACCCCGGCTAATATTTCTGTAGGGATGATAAACGATTAGGATTAGGCACGTCCTACACTGGCAACTTTTCTTTCGTTCGAATCGTAAATGCGAAAGTACAATTGTCGTTGTCTAATTGATGGTACACCTGCTGTAAAACTATATTTAAGAAAGTTGAAAACAATAGTTGAGGCTTGGCAATGTGTTTCTGTACTTTTGTTTTTATGCAACATGCAAATGTTGCCTGAAAGAAATCGCCATAGGCGATAAGGCCTTTGCACTAACATTTTTATTTGTATATGTTATTTTAAGTGTCTATGTTCTACAATGGTGTAAATATGTTTGCAATAAGGCGTTTGTTTAATATTACCATTATTTCTTTGGGCGAAAAATATTCTTATGATAGTGAACACTTGAAACGAATTTTTTCCCAATCATAAGAAGCTGGTTTGCGATTTAGTAACGAGTAACAAGTATTGTCTGTAGTTTACGTGAGTACCTATTAAACATTTAAATAAAACACTTTTAACGGTTTGAAACTTTGTAGCAGTCCTAGACTCGTGATCACAGCTCCTAAAACGTCAGGCGGTAGTAAAAATAAATTGTAAGTAAGTAAACCAATACATTTCGCGTTTTAAACCGTTAAAAGTTTTTTTAAACTTATATGTTGTGTAGCTTTTATATGTACTTTTTAAATAATAATCTCTTTAATACTTTCTTAGCATTATCAGTTATGATGTGATTCTTCTAATTATGAATAATAGAATTTAATCTCCATTGTAATAGAATCACTTAGTTACAGCTTATGGTTTGCCGGCAAATTTGAGAGATTTGAGATAGTACCAGAAATTTCTGACCGTACCTTCACCAAAAGTTATTTCACTAAATGTTGTTCAAACCAGTTTCCCTCGAAGGCCGCATCGGAAGGCTTTGGACGGAAAACGAAACGGGACTTGCCTTTATTTTTATACAAAAACAGCTGTTACTTTTTTTTGAGGTTGCACACAATGTATTTATGCCGTCCTATATGTTAGTTACTTCATTGTACAACCTGACCTATCCCAACATATACGCGAGCAAATATACCTGCCAAACACATTTCTCTTAAAACGGCGTAGAAGTAGTAACTGTGTACCCACTCTCTGTAGATTACGCGAGTAACATCTTAATATAAAGCTCTTGACGTTTCAAAACGCCAAATGTCCCCGTTACCTCACTGATGCGAAATTGTAAATGAGTTAACTGACACATTACGCGTATTAAACCGTTAGAAGTGCGTAATCAATAACGATATTACATTAGTTGACCTATTGTTTTAATTTAAATATGTACTAATTATTCATATTTATTTATTTGTTTGAACGTGCTAATATCAGGAACTATGGGTTCGAATTGAAAAATTGGTGTTGGTTAGAGTATTTACCGAGGAAGGCTATAAGGCTATAAAATTTCGCCCTTTGACTAATAAAAGCGAACAAATTAAATTATGATGATTATTACAAATTTAGATCTCCAAAATAAATATTCTTAGCCGACGAAGTCGCTGCATCAGCTAGTATCAAATACAAAATGTAAAATAATAGTTGCGGAAATGTCTCCGTTATTCTTTTAGAAATGAATCGGTCTCAATTGCTTTGTTAATTGTTGTTGCGAATAAGCTCTTTGTTAGAAAGATCACTCATTTATTTGACCATTATTTTGAGTTTGGGCCTGCGTCTCACATGCTCTCTACCTCGAACTTTTAAACGAGTTACCCTGGGCGTATTATAATTAGTTACAAAATATCCCAGCATACATTGCTTAGTATTTTTACCGGTGTATATAATTGAACTGAGAATCATATTATGTTATTATTTCCCCCGGCGTTTCGGATGCTTTGCAGCAGCCGTGGTCACGGTGTGGAAGTCTGTTGGATGCCCAAAATTACTATTTTACGCGGAAGAAGTCGCTGACACTGCTAGTTTTGTATAATATCAATAAGAGAGAAAACAACAAATATAATTGGTAATAACCAAAACAGTTCGATAGCACTGTGTAGTTCTTGAGATGTCATATTTCACATAGAACTTCAACGCTTTAACTTTTCTATGAAGTTGTAAATAGTTTTTAGGCCAAGTTAGCTTATTGTACAATATTATAGTCAACATATTTTCCGATACCGTCTATAGTTTACGCGAGTACACATTTAAATAAAAATCTTTTCGCCGTTAAAAAAGCAGCTCTTTACTAATTACTCACCCCGTGACCACGGCTGCTGCAAACCATCCGAAACGTCGTAGCCATAGTTAAAATTATTTGTAAATGTTCACTTAATACATTTGGCGTTTCAAACAGTTAAAGGTGTTTTATTTGAAGTTGCATAACATGTTAGTTTGTTGCGGCTTTCGAAAACGCAAACATTGCATCCGCTCGTAACTTGAGATTTTGTATGTATGTTACTGATGACGTCTGTAAATTTAGCAAGTTCTTTATCCACTATATGGGCGGCCACCTCCGTTGCACAATGATATAACGCCTAACGCCTAAAATTTAAATGAAACTCCGTTCGATATAACAGTTATTCTTGTACAATAATAAATTATTACTTTAATACAATCGACAATATGTGTTCAAAATAGATTTTATAAACAGGAAAGGATCAGTTTTAATTAATGCTGTGTTCGCTCTTTGTGTATCGCGATTGTTTGCATTACACTGTGCTAAGGTGTCAGTTTCTGCGCACGGATTAAACAATTGTGGGTTTATTAAGGTATAGGAAAATAGCATATTGTAGAGGACTAGACTTAAGGCACCGTCCGTTTGATTTATGATAGGACTGTTTAACATTTGACATATACGTATGTATAATACATTGCCAGTTGAGGTTTCAAATTTATCGATACATAAATTTAAAAAAAGTTATAAAATCTAGATTGTCTCAAAAGGCGTATTATTGTCTGAACGATTTCTTTAATGACAAGACAGCCTGGCATTAATATGAATTGCTCCTTAGGTTAGTAAATTCACAACAATGTATTAGTTTATAAGACATGTTTAAAAAAGCCGTAGTGAGTTTCTTGGGTGTTTTTCTCAGTTATGTTGCTCTTTTGAACACTCTTTAGAATCACGACAAACAGGCAGACAAACAAAACAATTTTGACGAATCTAAATAATTCTTAAGATTTTAAATAGAATTAAGTATATTTTTGTTTTTTTGCATCTACTACTAACTGTTATAATAATTAATAATCTATTCTTATTCTTCTTCTTCCTAAATGTACTTTGTTGTAGACTGTTACGGGACCTTTTATATTTAGTCCCACTCACACTTGACCAATTTTTATTATTATTCGTCAAGTGCCAATTCTTGCTTTAATACTGAATAGAAAACTAAAGCGGGCCTTTTGCTATAATATTTACTTAACTCTAACGTTTATTCGCAGTTGCAAAAACAGTTCCAACAACAGCACCAGCATCAGCAACAACAACAACAACAGCAGCAACAACAACAGCAGCAGCAGCAGCAACAACAACAACAGCTGCAACAGCAGCCTCCTCAGCCTAAGCAAGAAATACAACAATTACCTCAGGCGCAACAGGACTTGCAGCAACAAAAATTTGTACAGGTTATTAAATTTACTTTTGTTAATTCAATTCAGAAGTGCGGTCATAATTTTGGCCTAAAGTTTGGATAGGGATAGACATATTTTTTTAAATTTTGTCATATGTGTGATTGTAATTAGACCTAAAAAACTGTTCACATAATACACTTCTAACAGTTTAAAACGCGAAATATAGGACTAAAATTTATTATATTATTATTTTAAATACAGATTTAATTGAACCTTCAGTACTCCCTCCAATTTCAGTCCCCGCGTGACCACGGCTTCTTTTGAAACATCCATAGTAAAAAAAGTTTAAATTCTATATTTTCCGTTTTTAAACCGTTATAAGTGTTTAAAGTATTCGTGTACTACATGGCACATTGTTAAATCCGTTGTTCTAAATACTGTAAACATTTCAGGTGGTAAACAACCAGTCTCTACACACGCAACAGTTCAATGTGCCTGGTATTGGGGAAATAAATCTAAGTTTTCTTGCATCGCCCCAGAACAACGTAAACCTGCTGTTCGACAAAAACCAAAAGACCGGTATGAGCGGAGAGATCAAATCTCAAACGGTACGTACAATCAAATAATTTAGTACACATCTATACTCTATACTAATACATAAAGCTGAAGAGTTTGTTTGTATGTTTGAACGCGCTAATCTCTTGAATCACTGGTTCCAATTGAAAATTGTGTTGAATTTTAATTCTCGCGGACGAAGTCGCTGACACCGCTAGGAGTTCAATAAATACAATGTACACTAATTAACTAACTAACTATTCAGTCATTCAATATTTTTTTGTTACTTTCTTAAAATTGCATAAGTACTGGTTAGGATGGGTGGTTAGCCATGTTCAAGAGTTTATCACGCCGCCATACATTGCGAAGTAATTTTCCGACATTAGGATAGTTAAAGCTATTTTTATTCTGCATTTTATTTAAGGTCTAAAGTGAAAGTTTTATGATAGATCAGACAAGCATGGGGCCACTTAATGAAAGGTGAAATACCTTAGCCATAAAACATCTAAACAAGATGTGCTGTCGGCCTATTTTGGCTTTAGAGATTCAGAATCTACAAACTGAAACTGAACGCGATCAAACGTAATTTTTCATAGACGATTGTTCGTGACCCGGACGGGGTTACAATATTCCTACCACCTTTAATAAACATCGTTTCCGAACATGGTTTAGAAAAATTATAAATGGATTAGATTGTTGGATCTGTTGGTTATTAGCCATACATTGCCACCATTTTACTTAGGAGCCCGTAGTTGTATCCCCGTCTAATTTATTTTTTTAATATAATAGTAATAAAAAACACTTTGTTGCACAAACCGGCGGCCTTATCGCTTATGGCGATTTCTTCCGTTGTATATTTAGACAATGAAAACAAAATTAACAATAAAAGAGTAATTTAAATAAAACAGTTTAACGGTTTAAAACGCGATATATTAGTTAGACTTATTTGAAATTTATTTTTAACTTCGGCCCGACGTTTCGACTTTGCAGCAGCCGTGGTCGCGTAGTCTCCCGGTCAATCAATCATTTTCAAATAAGTTTAACTAATATATCGCGTTATGAACCGTTAAAGTGTTTTATTTAAATGTGTACTACTCGCGTAAACTATAGACAGTATTTAATGAAAGAGTAAGTCAACAAGAACTTTTAACTAACAAAGATATCAAATACTATTGTATTGTATCTTGGCTTCATTATATAATTATAGAAGCTTGATACATACCATCTTACACTGACCAAATTGTTACAAGAACTACAGGATGTATTAAAAATAATATTTATCCTCGAAACAGATAACGGAAGGGCAGAACCAGCAGCAATTGAGTATGGCGCAACACGATTCGAACCAGCAGCACCACCAGACAGTCACCGTGGTGTCGTCTATGCCAAGCAGCATGGGAACACATCAGGTATGTAATAAAATACATACATATTGTGACAAAAGAAACTGATCATGGCTGCCGTTTACGCGAGCAGTGCATATTTAAATACATAATCACTTTTAATGGTTTAAAACGCAAAATATATATCTCACAACTTAACATTTTATTTTATCTAAGCCCTGACGTTTTAGACGCTTTACAGCAGGGGGGGGGGGGGGCTGCTGCTAATATATGCTGCGATATATATGATATAAGGGATGTTAACTATTTTTTGAGAAAGTGAAATTATTGAGGCACCTTATTCAATTCCCAATTTTAAATATGTGTGTACGCTTTTCAACCATAAAATTATGCTTTAAAAACTGTATTACCATAACCTAATGCCGTCACGGCATCGATCGATCGAGTAAAGTTATAAAAAAAAATATTTAACGGTTAAAACGCTTTGCAGTAGCCGTGGTCACGGGGAGGCTGACAAGAATTAAAATTCAGGTTTAACTAAAATACATCGTGTTTTAATCCGTTAAAATGTTTTATTCAATTGTGTGTGAAAAAGGCAAGATAAAGAAAACACCAGAAAACTTATGTATGATCCTTGCTCGGTTATAAATAATTGTTTTCAACAAGAAACCTAGGTACATAACATTTATATACAGTAAGTTATACAGGTGACATTTTTGCGATATCTGGCTTTCTAAAGCAGAAACTACCAATTTAAATATTGTTTAGTAGTCTATATACTTGCATATCTTATGTATTATGTCGTCAGTCATAGTTAGTTTTGAAATAAATTTCAAAAGATCTTTACTTCGGGTGTTCCCTATATGAAATGTAAGTTCCCCCAAAAAGCGAACGGCAAGAGCTAGTATCGTGGGTTCGATTTCTAACAGGTTCAATGATTAGTAAATCATCGTCTGATATATAAAATGTAGTTAAAAGAACGTAATTACGTCTAGGTCGCGAACTACAGTTGCAGATGAAAGTCTTAAGGATTTCTTAATATCTTCAGCCAAAATAGGGTGACAGCATCTCTTAGTGTTGGTCTGCATCATTTCTTCCGTCAATAAAACCCCGAGATAGACTATAGCTTTGTTTCATCTTAGGATATTGAATTGAAAGCATAAACTTCCATGCACAAAAGTTCGTGTCAGCAAAATGATTCCAAGTAATAAAATGTGCTGTAACTAATAACGTGCATTCTGGTTTAGACCACCGTCAGACAGTGTCTACTATCAGGTAGGTTTTTAGTGCTAGAATACTAATGTTTTAATTTTTTTTTTAATTTTTACATGTTATTGCACACGAAGGCACTATATTATTTAAACATCGAAATTTAATTGAAAGAATTTTCGACTCGGGCAGGAATTGAACCGGTCTCGTCGGCGTGACTCGGTAGCTCAATGGGAGAGCAACAGCACGGAACGCTGACGATGCCGGTCCAAGTCCTGCCCGAGTCGAAAATTCTTTCAATTTATTTTCGATTTTTAAACAACACTAAGGTTTTTATACATTAAGTGTTTTTATTTAGCGTCAAAAGTTTTAAAGATATGAAGTTTAAGTGCGTTTAAGAACTTTATCCAACATCATTTAAAACTTTGAGGTAGTAGTCTATTGTAGTGTGGTACATATAAAATAAAAACGATTTAAAACGTGAAAAACTTCACTTGTTCTTGAATGTGTAATATAATTTACTTATAATATATATTAACTTATTTATAATCTATTTCAACTATGGCCCGACGTTTCGGATGCTGTCCAGCAGCCGTGGTCGTAGACGTATGAATGGCGGATGTCCCTAATATCAAAGTAAACTTACAAAAGTATTGTTCTGACAGGTACAGCAGCAGCAGGCAGCGGCTGGTAGCATACAACAGCAAGCCGGCGCTAGTATATCAACTATGGGACCAATTCAGAGTTTACCACCCAATACCCAGCATCCGCAGCAATTGAGGTAAGTGCACGGTTCCAGGAAAAGGGGTCCCTTTGTTTAGGGCTTAGGTAAAGATGGACGAAACGCAAGTAATGGTATTTGTCATATTGTAGAAATGACATTAATAACGTCGGCAATGCATGGCAATCAATTGGTCGATCCCCGCCGGGTCCAAAATATTTTAAATCATTTTTTTTAAACATGTTGAACATCTTCTGCAAATCTCGATAGTAAATGGATGGTAGAAATATCGATACTCCGACCGGGTCACGAACCACCGTCCACAGAGGAAAAGCTGTGTTTAAGTTAAACCCGTGTTGACTGGCCTTACGTAAGAAATAATCTTACCTGCTAAATGCTGCTGCATACCTGCTAAAGAATGATCAATTTTTTTCATACTTGGGTCTTTAAAATTGTATGTAGTAAAACTATATTTTAGATTAAGGTCAGTATGTACTATAGACTACTTTATACTGTTGAAATTGCAAGATCTGATGGATAAGTGAGGAAGACTTCGACTATATTAAAGTACTAACTATTACACATCTTGTCTAAGTTAAACTAAATCTATACTTCTATACTAATATGTAAAGCTAAAGAGTTTGTTTGTTTGAACGCGCTAGTCTCAGGAACTACGGGTTCGAATTGAAAAATTCGTCGTGTGACTAGTAGGAGCGAGGATACGGCGGGAAATGTGTCAAAAATTGGAAAAATTATTCATGATCATTATGGGTTTCCGAAGCGTACGCTGAAAAAACGGTACAAGATACCCAAAAAATACGTATGTTTATGTCTATCTTTTAAGATTATCCCGCAAGAACGACGGGACGTAGTATAAAATAACTGTTCCATGCGGACGAAGTCGCGAGCATACCATAGTATAAATATAAGACAAAACACGGTGCACCAACCGTCGCACGTTTGTAGACCCAAAGTAATTTTGCAGTATAATATTAATGGTTAAGTAAAGCATTTTTAACGGTTTATAAAATATATTGAATTCTGCCGACGACCCGACGTTCGTACGTTTTGCAGCAGGCGTGGTCACGTAGAAACGAATATTTTTTTTATGTTCGCCCCTGGCGTTACAGACACTACATAATTTAGTTAGTGATTATTGCTGCTTGCGGGCAAATAACCCCTCTCCCAAAGGCCGGATGGTTGTGGTGTTATATAAAAAGTGGGGCTCACACCTGCCTGACGAGCGCTTTAAATGCATCTGGGGCTATTCTGTAATTAAGCCCCCTATAAAGTTCAAGCTTCCGACCTTTTTTCGTTTCAGATGTCCGCAATTTTCACGTTACTTTGTCATTAAAAAATTGTCAGAAATTAATACATAATAAAAATAATTATTTAAGTACGTTTTACTTGTTCGTCCAGCGCCACCTTCTGTTTCTTTATTTTTTATGATAGAGGACACTTTGGGTTTACTTGATGCGCGGTGACCTTAGCCATGTAACATTTAACAAGATGTGCTGTCGACCCGTTTTGACTTTAGAGTTTAGATATTCGCAAATCCACAGACTATAAGCGAAACGCGATTTACTATTTAAACTGACAACACGATTTAGAAACCCGGGGGAGGGAGGGGGGTGGGGCGTCATAGTTCCCGATATTCCTGTCATTTTTAAGAAAATTATACATAAATTGGAAAAGTTATTATGCTAGTTACTTTCAAAAATAAATAATTGATGCCACGTGGTCGAAGTTGCGTGCACAGCAAGTAGGTATAATATTGTCTTGATGAATGTTCCCATGGAATAACACGACACCTAAGGTTATATTATGCCTATTTCGACTTATACGGATTTCTATCATATTACAAACTCATGCTGCTTTATAGACAATAGGACTTTATTTGTTAAATAAGCGTAAAATATTGTCTGTAGTTAACGCGAGTAGTACACATTTAAATAAAACACTTTAACGGTTTGAAACGCGAAATGCCGCTCACCCTAGCCACGGCTGCTGTAAAGCATCCGAAACGTAGGGGCCGTAGTTATTTTTTTAATAAGTTTCACTAAAATATTTCGCGTTTTTAAACCGTTAAAATGTTTTATTTAGATACAGTTTTTATTGTATTAATTTGTCATTATTAGATAATAAATGTATGTTACTGTTTACTGCTTTTTCGTCTAGTCTTTCTAGTCTATAGTAATAAATGAACTTATGATCGACAGAATTCTAGTCTATTAATTATTTTTTAGTAAAAGTGAAGACCGCGAAATCTATTTGCTACAGAAAATCGTAGGTTCTAATTGATAAAAGGTTTTGTTTATAAATTTAAGCAGCCCACGACAACGGTCGCGTCCCGTCTTTCTTGCTAGTTAATCTTATTTATAGACATTGCGGACATTTTTTTAGATCAAAGAGGAATAATTTTTTATACATAATGTTTGTGTGTCTTGAACCGTTTCCGCAGCGTTTCGCATTTGTAAGCTACAGAGATGTGAATTTTACCTCGTTTTGTTCACATTTTCCGATCTATCTTCCCTTTTATTAGTGTCAGCGTGATATTTTATAGCCTATAACCTTCCTCGATAAATGCTCTAACCAACACAAAACATTTTTTTTTTAAATTGAATTCATAGTTTCTGAGATAAGCGCATTCAGCGAACAAACAAACAAACAAACTCTTCAGCTACATATATATATTAGAATAGTTAGATTGGAGACAGTATCCTATTTTTAGGTTTGAAAATGTTATTTTTATTTAATCTAAGTTGAAGTTTAGCGTCTGTTTATGGCCGAAAAAGGATTCTACTCAATTTTTTAAATTAAATATTAACACCATAGTGGTCATTTATAAGATAGATTTTTCTCATGTTATTTTTAGTTACAGCTGAAAGAATTCTCAAGTTGATGAAATGTATAATTTCAGTGCGGATTGGGGACACGGCCGTGTACAAGTGATACAGCAACCGCTGCAGAACAGCACGTATTTGCAGCAACTTTACAATGCTCAAGGACCACTACTTATGCCCGGCAATATTGCTCTCCATCCTCAAATCAACTCGCAACAGATCCAGGTCAGTTAGATGTGTCTGTGTATGTCCTACTGTACTTCGTCCACTGTTTGCGCGAGTACTACACATTTTAACGGTTTAACGGTTCGTCTTAAAAAGAAGAGATGTAGAAGGTTAGAAGTTTGATCTTCAAATGAAGTTACTAAAGTGTCTACTTCATCCAGATAGTATTTCTGTTATTTATATGGTACGAACTGTTGAGAAAAAGTATAAAGCATTTTCGATGTTTTTTTATAGGTTATTGCTGCCGGTAAACCTTTTCAGGGGAACCAGCTGGCGCCGCATATGCTCACCCAGGGAAAGCAGGTCTTACAAGGCCAAACTGGTGAGTTATTTTACTCCTAATTACATTTAAAACCGAAAATGGTTCATTGGATTTCAACTCAATACATTGTATGTATGTGACATACGTTAAATGGTATTTATTTTACCTCGGCCAAAGGATAGGATAAAATACAAACACGTGAGCTTGTGAGATGTAAACTCTATTTCTTTACCTCATTGTTATATATGCAGCTCTCAGGCTATGTAATTTCAACCTTAAGGCCTACGTGTTAAGGTTCAATGTCCTATACTTTATAGCTTAAAAAATCAATTAAAAAAATTGCTGTGGATGCCGGTGCGAAACCCGTTCATGTTGTCAATATTTTCAATCTAAAGCAGATTTTTAATTTTAATTATTAAAAACAATAAATTTCTGAGAATTTATAGAAAAAAAGTTTGTGTGTTTGACCTATGATAGAATCATTAAAAAGCGAAGGTGGGTGATGTAGAAATTTAAACTGAATAGTATTATATATTTTAAAGTTAGTATAGATGGTACCAGTAGTTACTTGGACATATAATCGACATGTATTGCCTAGTAGTGGTGTTATAAAATGTTGTACTGGTAAAAAAACTACTTAAGCTTCAAAATAAAATATATACAGGCGATGATGTAATTTAGATAAAAGGTTCGTGTTTCATAGACTTTTTGAAATCATATAAAAAAAATTATATTGAGTATTTTTCTAAAAATCGGCAAATTAGAATACTACTTGTTCTCGTCTTTGAATTCGATCCCTCCTATTTATGCAACTGGCATCCTTCAATGTACTTAATTCATTCCGTCAATATTAAATTTCAACATGTCATTCTATTTTCAAAAAGTTGCTGTATGTAATATCCGATTTTTCACAAGTTACAAATGTATTCACCGCCCTAGCATAGATAGACGCAAGCGCACCCTCCTACGATTCCTAATATTTAGCGGTTATTTGACTGGGCCTCCATTCGACTCAGTATTGCCAGTTTAACCAATTATAAATAAATGATTTTGTCGTATATAATGTAGTCGAATGAAGAACAGCTGCACTATTTAGGTTTTCAGTTAATTTTTCAGGTCTTACGGCATATCAGGACCAAGGTTTATCGCATTTTAAGAATGAATTGTATATGTTTCAAGTGATGTTTTATGTGAATGTCAGTGTCGTTATTTGGGTGATCGATTTCTTTTCATTTTCGTTTGGTGGTACATTCAAGTCAAATGTCTCTATAACAAAAACTAAAGAAACAGCATTCGGCCATATTGTTTTACAGATCTATTGCTCCTTACCTGTCTAGGGTGAATTTTGAAAACTTAAAGAAACAAGTTGAAGACCAAGTTATTAAATACTGTCTATAGTTTACGCGAGTAGTACACATTTAAATAAACCACTTTAACGTTTAAAAACGCGACCCGACGTTTCCGATGCTTTGCAGCTGCCGTTGTTACGGGGTGACGGGGGGGGGGGGGTCTTCGGGCCGAAGTTAAAAATCATTTTCATCATTATCGCGTTTTAAACCGTTGAAGTGTTTTATTTAAATGACTAAGTTATTTTGAATGTGCCATCGCTCTGGACAGATACTTTCGAGCTGATTTAATTATTGTTACTTAGTTCGCGGTTTAGATTTAGTACCTCAATTATTTCCTTGTGGACGCTTCGTTTGTTTTTTTCTAACACGCCATAATTTTGCGCACATTTTATTACTTGTCTTCCTTATAACGTCGAAACTAAATTTTGACAGTATATAGATGTAGTTTTCTGAGTTTTTCGATTTCGCCTCTTTTCTATAATTGAATGGACGGTGCATATTATTTTTTTTTCCCAATATGTATAAATTAAACTATTTTTATTTGAGCTTCATTATGTAGGCTGAATGTTTCAAAACTTTGTATGATGGGTTATGGCCGTAAGTGATAATAAGCTAGCATGTATTAAAACTCAAGGGTTAGACTACAGTTTTTAATTACTGAATGTGTTTACCAGCGTCGTTCCCTGGGTACACGACAATACCCGCGATACCCACGACCCAGAATCAAACGTTCGTGTTCAGCCCTCTAGGCGTGATCAACTCCCAGCCGAGCATACTCCCAGCACATTCTCAAGCTTCAGGAATGAATCAACAACAAAAACCGGGTGACATTCATAAGGTATTCTCTCTCATATTATAGTTATATTTATTGATTCGTAATTTGAAAATAACGATTGATATGTTGGTATTGAGCATAGCATCATTATAGCATCTAAACAACAGGTGCCGTCGACCTGTTTTGGCATTGGGTATTCAAAATTCATAGGCTGAAATCGAAACGTGATTAAATTTCATTTTGGTTCGTTTCCCGAATGGAATTTCGATATACCTACCACTTAATAACCGGATTTTCAGGCGAAGTCCAACATGTTTCAGAAATATAAATTGGCCAAAAATATGTGTCCGGTGCCAAAAATTTGACTTTATAATATGTACTGTTAGGTGTAATATAAATATTTCTATGTAACCCAGGTAATGAGTGGCGGAAAGGTGACAACAGGCAAAGTGAACACTGGCAACACCCAGAATGTTCCAGTACAAGCGCAGTGCGTTCAAGTCTCGCAGCCGGTGCTCGGTCAGCAGCCCCAAGCGCAGATCATCAGCCCGTTGCAGGTTGGTTAACTCTCTATACTGTTGATGTACAGTCGGATACATAAACATGCATATCGTTCTGTTAAAATTAAATCTCTAAAGAATATATGTAAACGACTGTACACCTTTTAACACTGTCTTGTATTCATTGTGCCTCTCTGTAATGTGTGTTCCATTTTCAAATTTGAATATTTGAAAATATTCAAAACATACATTTCAGAAAACGCATCATGGCTCCTCTCTGAAATGTATGTTTTCCAAATTTAAATTCAAATATTCAAGACGTACATTTCAGAAAACGCATGGGCCTTGTATGTAATAACTTTAATATGCTAGTTGGTAAGATTTTGCTGAGACTAATACTGATGCGAACGCTAATTTTGCTGTGCGATTTATTTTAACACTCAGCTTTTCTCGTGTTATTTTACAGATTATTAAATAAGACACAAGATACATTATTTCTAAGCACACAAACACATATATAGTTTTAAGTAGTTATGTACATTTTAAATGGCCATTTAAAAGGTGTTTTAAATAAATGTAACTTATCAATGTATATATTTATCTCTTTCTAATGTATCGAGAAGAAAATACTGTGAAAAGGATTTTCAGAAAGTCTACCGGTTGAAGTGGCTATTTGTAGGTAATGTCGTAATGTAAATAAATACAATACGTATAGTCGGCTACGAAAATTTAAGTACAATTTGTGGACTTATTTGAACTAAAGCTATAATAGAAATAATAGTATAGGAAAATAATATAATTTCTTAACCGACTTTACTTATTTGGGTGTACAAAAGATGCACAATTAATGTATTTAATTTAAATAAAACACTTAACGGTTTAAAACGCGACATGTTTCAGTTACCTGATTTATAATTTATTTTAACTACGGCCCGAAGTTTCGGATGCTTTGTAGCAGCTTTGTCCTGGGGCTTTGTGTTACTGAAGATGGAGGGTGTCCCTAACCTCAATGTAAATACTGCTACGCTAGCGCCATCTCTTCCACCATAGTTAGTATTAGGCGAAACCGGCCGGGTCATTGAGAACTAGCGGTGTCCTCTCGTTTCGTTTTAAGTGTTTTATTTAAATGTGTACTACTCACGTAAGCTACAGACAGTACACAATTAATGTATCGTTATATCCGCAGGCCGGTGGACAGATGCAGTTTGCGCCGTGGCAGATCTCGGGCGCTATACCCCAAGTGTGGGCCGGCGGTTTGCAGGCCGGTGCGTTGCCGGCCGGCGGGCTCCTAGCCCCCAACTCCATATTCATACGTGGCTCGCAACAGGACCCACCGCCCTCTATGTTCATTCAACACTCGCCACAAAACAATGTGCAACATGCCAGTTAGTATGACTTACATTCGATTGTCAATCGATTATAATAATCGAATTAATGCAGAGCGAATTGATATTGCGATGTTTGTGCTGTGCGCTGTAAAGTAGTTGGGTTATGTATATAATTGTACTGTCTTTTAGGTGTAAGTGTGGCGTCGGCTACGGTTAGCACGTCGAAACCACGAGCCTCCACTGATGGGATCTCGAAGGCCCCACGGCCCCTCTCGAACATTCTGCCTTCGGGTGGTATTAGACCAGCCTCGAGTGTGTCAACGCAGACCAGTACGAACCAAGCCCAGAATGCGGTAAGTTTCTCTATGTTTGAAGAGGATAAGCATTTGGTTCCAGACGAAATGCAACAAAATTAGTCTTAAGTTTTTTTCCTACAAAAGACTATGTGCTTTGAAGAACTTTGTTTAGTATTTTTTGAAGTACCGCTAAGCAAACACCAGAACTTTTTACTTTAGCGTGTCTAAATATACCTGTCGGTATATGTTTTGATTTGTATGTACTACATTGTATATGCATTTATTACAGGCGAAGCAACGCGGCAAGCCGGGCGTACGTTCGCCTGCGCCAGCCGCCAAGCAGGATGCGGCAAATCAGACAAACAAAATGCAGCATCAGATACAGCAACCGAAACAGCAGTATGTATTAAATAATATTATGTAACAAATACATCATCAATATGTTCATATAACTACTGAAACAGAATTATTATATACATTTTAATATTTATTAAAATAAAATTCTAGCCAATATTGACTTATGTGGTATTTTTATTGATTTATACTTTAAACTCTTCTTTGCTTTTTTAGGTTACTGGTCATGAACTCCAGCGGCCAGATGACACAGATAACAAGCGTCGATAAGCAGTCGCATAACAAGAACATACAGCAGCAGCAACAGCAACAACAGCAGCAGGCGCAGCAGCAACAGCAGCAGCAACAACAGCAGCAACAGTTGTTGCAACAACAAGCCCTACAGGTAAAATATATTGAGGTAATTTTCTGGAACTTCCGCATTTCTCTAGTAGGTGGGCGACTAAGTGTTCTATTACTTACCAACAGCAGCAGCAGCAGCAACAACAGCAGCAACAGCAACAACAGTTACTGCAGCAACAACAAAATCAGCAATTGGTTCAACATTATCAGCAGCAAGGTAGATAAAAAATTGGCCCTTAAAGGTTTTAAGTTTAAAGACTGATTATAATAATTCTATTCTCCTGCCTCGTACATTCTTTTTTGATCTCATCCAATGAAAACTCTATTTAGTTATAAGTTAAGAGACTTTAAAATAAGTAATTTTGTATTTAAAAGACGTTGTTTGAATATTAACAGATCTTAGTTATTGGAACTCCAAATCAAACATACCGATGTATTGCAGATTCGTTTTAACGGAAGCGTTATTTCGACCAACAGTAGGGTTTTGATAAAAATAACTACAACTTCGCAAGGCCCTTTTGGCATCACTTTCAAATTATATTTATATATAATTGTATATTCATTATTTTATTGTAATTATTATATTTATGTTCTTCTATTGTGCTGAAATAATGCCAATTAAAGAGGTTTATTTATTATTTTAGGTATGCTCGGCATGACACAGGGAACATTACCCGTTGGGTCTGTTTCACAAACGTTGCCCATGGCTGGTCTACCACAGATATCAATGGTACAGCAAATCCATCCGGTGAGTAAAGAATCTTTATAGTTTTAATAAATCAAGTTTTTTAACTAGCTGACATGGCAAACGCTGTAGTGGCATGAAAACTATATGTAACTTTCGTATATTAGATTAACATACAATTTCGCTTTAATATTGATGAGTTTATGATTGTACAACATACTGGTTTATCATCAAAACTTTTCTATGCGCATGCGCAAGTTTTTTTCCACCTTGGGCTGGTTTACCTAACTTATTGGCCCGTTTCAGAGTAAGTTTGGCTTTCCAATAAAATAATTCTTTAAATCGTCACAGTAGTAAACATACAAATATATATGTTTATAATATAAGTAATTGTGTTGTGCAGTTGGGTGGTATGGGCCAACCTGGGACGCTGGTTAGCCAGATAAACACTAGTCAGTCGGCGCAGAACGCTTCGCTGACACAAGTGCAGACCTTACAGCAGCCACAGGTAATATTTTCTTATCGATCAGTTTACTCATTAGTTTAATAAAGGCAATGGTTCTTTTGAATACGTTAAACATGTAACGGTTTGAAACGCGAAATGTGTTAGTTAACTTCGGATGCTTTTTCGTGGTCAGAAGGGCGGGGTCTATATATGCAGCTGGTCATAACAAACAACTTTTGAGATGTTCAAAAAAAAAATTGTTCTAGACACTAGTCGGAAGCGGTCTCGTCCAAACCTCAGTCGGCATGGCTGTACAGCAACCTTCATCGCTTAACTCTACTCAAATGCAACAATCGGTTCGTTTACACAATTTCTATTATCATAAAATGCACGTGAAATTAATTTTATTAAGTACTAGTGATCTCTATTTTGGAACAATACAATGGAAAATTAACTTTTTAACATTGATCATGAAATAATGAATGAAATAGTCCGTTTTTGGCCTGGTACGTTAGTACGTTGTTATCTATATTTTCTCGTCAGAATAAAAATAAACATAACTTCAATTTTAATCAATTGTTATATCGAGTGCGATCATTATTAGAGCCTTAATGATTTATTAGTTTTATTAATGAGAAATATTTTAACTTATTCTTATTTCCTTAGGTGACAACGAATAATCTAAGTGCGCCACAGTTAACAATTCAGGCGCCGACTCTCGGTCTTATAACAGCGCCGGTGCAAGGTTCTGTATTGCCGTTGCAGTCACAGATGATAACTCAGCCTAAGCCAGAAGAAAAGGTACAAGTCAAAAATAAATGTGTTGATTCACAAATAACATTTTTGTACCACCAAAATAATTCCAACAAGTTAATGTGTGGCTAACAATCAACGAGTGGAATCGATACCCACTGGTCCCAACATGCTTCAAATCCATTTATGGTTTTTATGAAACATTTTTGACTTCGGTTAGAAAATGTATGTTAAACGACATGATCCACCGTCCCCAGAACACAGCCACAGTCGTCTGGATTTCAGAATATTCAATGACGAAATCGGTCGACAATGTATCTTGAGGTGTTCTATGGCTGCGAATTTTACCTTTCATCAAATAAATGTAGTTATTAGGCATGGTCATGAAATAGGAATAAAGAACAAATGTTCGAAGAATTAACAAGAAATAATTACTAAAAAGAAACCTCTCTATTTGCAGACGTTACCTCAACCGTCGGCCCAAGTTACCACCACGGATGCTGCTACGGAACCAGCGACTACGACCAGTTCGACTTCACAAAATGACGTCACTGTTTCTACTACAGTCACAACAGCGAGTAAGCCAATTTTAGCCATTTAGAACAAAAAAAAATTGTCACCGCGAATACTAAACAGCATGTGTAGTTCTAAACTCTTATTCGATAGATGGCGCTGTTCTCAAGATTTGGAAACAAGGTTTTACGGCATTATATTTTCTTCTTCTTTTCAGATACATCTTCCGGCGATATTTCAAAACGCAGTCCGGTTAAGTCCGAGTACCCATTGGCTAGTACCACAGTCATGACATCCACCACGCCGACAGCGACATCCACCGCGCCGGGAATTAGCAGCGTCCCAAGCGGTGTTGTTACGGTATGTTTTTCACTTATTAATTAATTAATTGGCTGGTGAGTAAAAATATATAAATAGAAGAAATTATTTTACGAGAAATAACCAACTTCCAACGGTAAAAAGAAAATATAAACTCATTTAGCACAAAGTAATACATATTTTGATTAAGTTACATAGAAATGATTTAAAACCAATTTTAAACTGGGTAAAATTTCGTAACAATATTATAGTTTTGTTAACATTTTAGTATGAAGTTAATATATCTTTCATGTACGAATCTCTGTTGAAATTATTTTCTATACCTGTTATACACAGTCCTAATCAACATAATATCTTAGTTTTATGTTGTAGCCATTTTATAAATAACACAGACTTTCACTAAGAATTACTTCACTTTGCAGCAACCACAAGTAGTATCGTCCACCTCTACATCTACAACGGTTACGTCGACCGCTAGCACGTCAATATCTGCTGGAAGCTCTGGGGCTATGTTTAAGAGTGGCCAATGTACGCCAAGGAATATTAGCTCACAACAAGGTAATTTAAATTCTTCTATTTTACTTGCAAAAAAATGGGTGTTTCCAATTTCAACCTTAACACGCAGGTGCTAAGGTTGAAGTTACATTGCACGAGAGGTTCATGTATCAATCGGTTGAAAAAATTCGACGATGTCGTGAACGTGTCGTAGGGCACGGTAGCTCAATTGGTTAGAGCAACAGCAAAGGGTTTGCCAAGAATACATGATATTTAAGAGAAATAGTATCAATGTGACTATATATATATATATAGTTACAAGTTTTGTCTTTGACTGTACTTTAAGCGAGTAGTAAATTGGTTAAATAAAGCACTTAACGGTTTAAAACGCGAAATTTATTATTTAACTTATTTTAAATTTATTATAACTACAGCTAGTTTCTTCAACTACGACGAAACAGATGGCTTCAGGCTCCATTGTCCCCCTGGGGCTAAGGCTGCTGCAAGGCACCTGAAACATCGTGGTTAAAATAAGTGATCTAATATATTTCGAGCGTTAAACCGTTCGTTTTTCCAGGCATAGATGTAGTAGTGATTAATGAATAATTTCAGTTACAGACAAAGGTCTACCAAAGGCGATGGTGAAGCCGAACATCCTGACGCACGTTATAGAAGGCTACGTTATACAGGAAGCTGCAGAACCGTTCGCTGTGAGTATAATAATTAGTGCTCTCGTTCGTCTAGTTAACTTATAACTAAGGCATGTCTGTTGGGTCGTGGGAAATTTTGCGATTCAGACTTTCACTACAAGCTCTGGTCGAATTCCTGAAGACAAGGTCACCGTCCGTAGATTTACTTACTCACTCCGCGGGCGCAGCGACTCAAAGAGTCCTTCCTTAGGTATGTTAGACCCGTTGGGATTCCGAGATTCGCTTTTTTGGTCCTTTTTTTAAATATATAGAGGAGAACAGATGAGAGATGAAATACACCGGCCGTATAACGTCTAAACCGATTTTGGGTTGGGATATTCGATACATTCCCTTCGTCTCCGATTCTTCAATTGGCCAGCCCAGCGGATTTTTTAACTACAGTTTACATCCTCTCCCCCAACTCCGTCAGTAGAATAGCGAACCTTTTCTTAATTTGTGACGTGGGGAGTGTATTAAATCGTACATAGTCCCTCTGTGTTCGAGCTGGCAGTACCAACTTATACAACCAGTTACGGTGCTGTCGAGGGAGCACTGGCAAATTTTGGTATGACTCCAAAACACCCAGAAAAATTAGATCTGGAACCCACATGGATAATTATTTTTATAAAGAAGGTGTATTTTATTTCATTTTATAATATAGTTATCGAATTGTTCAGGTAAATCGGCCTCTTCGCGAGTGGAGCGCGGCCGATAAGGACCCAGACAAAGAAAACAAAATACCTTCGGATGAACCCATTCGTAAGTTTTAATATTAGTAACATTATAGATGAGTGTGATGTTTGTGTCGACGGTAATGGCATATGAGCCAACCTGGTGAGGTCATGATTCGATTCCCAGTTTTCAATTAACATATTTATCTACATTCGACTCCGGCAGGTTCTCGCATCTTGTTCGCATTATAAAAATTGAAAATCGATTATAAATTGAAAAAATGTACGACACGAGCAAGACTTGAACCGGCTTCCACGTGCTGTTGCTCTAACCGATTTATAATCGATTTTTAGTTTAAAATCTTTAAAAGTTCAAAATCACGGTTATGTAAAAAAAATTAACGGTTCTAAATAAGAAATATAATTAAGCCTTACCTTTTGGATGCTCTGCACCAGCTGTAGTATCGTAAACGTAAAGTCACGTAAACTACAGATCATACCTATTTTTCAAACCAGGCAAGAAACAGAAGTTGGAAAGCAGCCCCACCCTACCTCGCATCTCATCGAGCAACGAGACGAGCCCCAGTACCAGTCAAAGCTCCTCGAAGACCGAATCGCCGACCGCTGAGGCAGCGGATACAATGCAAGAGGACGAAGCCTCCAAGCTTCCAAATGCGCATAAGTGGACTGTGAGTACTAGCCTTATGTACTTTAGAAAATTTTAATTTTTATAATTTATTATTATTATTTTCTTTGTGGGAAACCGATAGAAGGCCAGTTCATCAGTGCACGTCAATTGTGGCTCATTCCACCCATTTCCCCTTTCTTCAAAATCTTATCTGTGCCATCATATGTTGTCGCTTCTCATATGGGTGTTTAGTTTTCAATATATTGACCATTCAGTGCGTAGATGGATGCTCGTATGTTATTTTCAATTTATTTTAACTACGACACGACGTATCGTAAAGATGAAAGGTGTATAATGTCAAATCTGCTACGCTAGCGCCATCTGTTATCTATCATCATCGTGTACCTATAGTTAATATAAATTGTAAATAAGTTAACCAATATATTTCGCGTTTTAAGCTGATAAACTTTTGTTTTATGTGTACTACTTGCATAAACTAGACAACACTAAAGTTTTACGAGTATTTATTTCTCTACATCATATCATCTGTACATGTCGTAGTTGACAGTTAATTAAATATATAATAAAATAGCGAACTTAATGTTATTATATGTCGAGGTTTAAATTGTTTTCTTGCATGATACATATTGCGTTTAAAAATATATATATTAATTGCGATAGAATTTGCATATTTTCTTTTATAATATTAAATATATCCTTATCTCCAGGTGGCGGAAGTGTGCGAATTTATACGTAACATCCCCGGATGCGCCGGATACGCGGACGAGTTCCTCATGCAAGAAGTAGACGGCGAAGCCCTGCTTCTCATCAAACCGGAGCACCTCGTAATGGCGTTGTCTATGAAACTGGGACCGGCTCTGAAGATTGTCGCCTGTATAGATTCGCTGCGTCCGGAAAGCGAACAGACATCGACGGAAAACAATGAATGAGGTATTGTCTATTTTTAGTCTGTATACATTTCACATTTAAATATGTTTGTCTTCTTTTCTTTTTAATTTGTTTATATTAAGCTTAACTGGTTATCGAATGAGAAAAACCAACCGAATTGTTAGAAAATAGTAGAATGGGATTATCAGTCAGCGTTCCGTGCTGTTGCTTTTTATACATTGCTAAGAATGGTCGAATTAGTGAATTAATGAATAATTCTCTTTTCCAGACTGGTTTTTGGGTCCATGGTAAACATCGTGGGCCTGCCTCGAAGAGGCGCAACGTGTTCACTCCTAGCATTACTTTCGAATATTAGCAGTTACTCCCTAATAATGTTGATAATGTTTTGTTAGACTCTGTAAATAAAACTATTTATAAAGCCTACACGAGGCCGAGCATGAAAAGCGTTATTCACTTTAGGCTTTTTCACACTCGCCCTAAAATGATCCCCTGTCTCCTCAACGCCAAGTTAATTCTAAGTTGAAGCTAAGTGGAGACATAGGTTAATTTTACGGTTAAACAAACTCGATTTGAACTATTTCATAGTATTTTTTCTAACTTGGCAATAGACCACAACAAATATGGCCGATTTCAAACTATATAGAACTAGCGATGACCTTTTTTAGAGTAAATTTGATGTCACAGATGACAAAGGGTTAAAGCAACATCGATTACACATGGACCAAACGTCGAAATCACTTACGACGGATTTTTGTGCTATTATTAGAATTTTTTGTTGATTTAGGTAGTTTCGTTGGTTTAATATATAATTCAATCAAAGTGTTTTTTTGTGTAAATCAGAGTTAACCTTACAGAAACGTCAAATATTTAAACGTTGTTAAAACACGATTTAGTGTTAAAGTGTTTTATTATAAAAACGTCAAGTTAGAAAAAATACGCTATAGAATTTATAAATGCATTATCGTTCGTCGACAGTGTGTTAAGGCCTAAAATGTTACACTCATCGCATTCTCTATGTTAGTACTTAAAATATTTCATATTTGTATCAGTATTGAGGCAATAGTTGTTAACTCTTTTTAAATTTAATACAAACTTTTCGTTCCACACCTCATGCATGCTTCATACACCTCTCCCGACAATCACTCGCGAATATATTCGGCTTAGTATCTTGTATTTAGCGCCAAAATGTTAATTGATGTGAAATTCGCTCAGTAGATGTTATAAGTGTTATTTAATCGTAGTTTTTGTATTCAAATCATCAATTAGCCTGTTTTGCTTTCTAAGTATATCTGAACCTTCATTGGACACACGTCGAAACTCCGCCTATTTAATTAAGCAAGTCTTGTGTTGCGCAGACGCTGACAAGTTAGTTAGGTTTCGGATTAGTTTAGTTTACATTCACACTTCGTTTGAAACGGTGAGTGTGTTTGGGGTACTTACCCAATGATGATGGAGATACGAAGATTATGTACTGAAATAATTGAATCACATAGGAAATACCACGCCTTGGGCCGGTATTAGGAGAGGGCCTCGGGGCCCTACATAACATAAAAGGAACGTAATTGGTTCCGAAAAATTAAAGCTAAAATTATTTTTCAGATTTCTTGTCGTTTATCAGTTTCACAATGAATTGTTAGTTTGCCGTCGAAAATTGTTTTGGGGCCTCCACTCCTATGTTGCCCCGAGGCCAAAACTCTCAATCCGGCCGTGCATAATTCGTGTCCCCCTACTCCCTGTCACCGACGTCACTCGTATTAATTTATTCCGTATTTTCCCCTTCATCGCATTCATTGTTAGACTAAGTAGGTGGTGGTAGTTATTGTAAATACGTAATGGCAAGTGCAATTTTTTTAGTGTACATGTCCTTTCTTTTATGATTTAGATATTAATTGTTTTCGAAAACTAAACAAATATTGTCTATGGTGCTACTTAGCTATTATTTTTCCCTCGTCGCAAAAATGTCGCGGCAATTTACTTTTTAGTTTTTCAATTGTACATTTTTATTTTTAACATAGCGTAGTTCTCTAAAGTATTATTTCTAGATGCAAATTGTCAACATTTTTGTATAGTTTGTTGGTATCTGACGTAAATCATTGTTTAAGTTAGATCATAACTTAGTGTACAGACTAAACTAAATGTGACTAGCGAAGGTAAACATAACAGCGATGTAAATTATAAACACTGTCCGACGCAAGGATTACCTCTCGTCGGACACGTTATGCGTATAAAGCGGTTTGAAACGTTAAAATTTTTATTCGCAGTAGTTTGTTGGCGTGTATTCCCAGGTCAGTAAAAACTTGTTAGGCGAGGATTTAGTCGATAAATAGAGAGGTTGTATTTTGAAGCTTTTGCTAGACGAGAGTTCTGTGTTCTCTAGATTCTAACAAGACTAATTAGGATTAGTGTAAGAGCTAACGTGACGAGTCCATTGTAATTTAAGAATGTTTGTTCATAGATTTAACGTATTTTAGATGTAAACGAAGAGGCGCTGGTATTGCATGCAGCCTTGAATACGGAAAGAAAATAACATTCATTAATTATAGCCGATTATAAATACGCGTACTGCATTTTACATGGACGTTATTTGAAAGATTTTTTTTTATATATTTGACACGCAAAAATGAATGGATAGTATTTTTCTGTTAGCCAAGCGAAAAATGAGCATTGTAAACGAATCTGATTTCGTCGCACGCATTTCTATACAAGATGGCGGTAAGGATAGCTTTTGTCTCTGTCACACACATCGTTTTTTAATATGAAGAAAAGAGACGGATATAGTTATCTCATTGTTGCACGATTCTTATTTAGAAAGACATTGGATCTAGTAAGATAGTCAATTGTCAATGTTGCTGTAATGAAAATTACATGTCGCCGAATAGCAAAAAAACGTGTATTTTATACGATTAGCGATACTAAGTTGGTATTCGATTCAGAAATATTGATACATGTATAGTAAGGTGTAAGCAATGTACAAATATGCACTAATGTTAGGTAATTGTTTAAAAATGGCTCATCTATTTCTGAACAATATTACACTTGTCCTATTTAAGTAGAGCTGGTTCGGTCGAGTCTTTTGTATGATGTTCATTTGTTTCACAAAAAACCTGTAAAAGGATGAGGACGATGTCCGTGCTGTTGCTCAATTTAAACTGAAGCTAACTTTTTCTCATCTTTAATAAAGAATAAACGGATTGAGACTGACTTTTGTGTATTTTTTATTGAGATTTTGACTTTGCTCAATTTCTATTACCAAAGTTATACATCCCGTCTTTCGGGCATGGGACGGACATATTTGTGTGTCTATCACTGATTGAATGTACTTTCATAGAGGAATGTCGTTTATCAGATTTTTTTCCTAAATTCGAACTCGGGACCTGTTCTGGTTAACTCAATGATATTCCATTGAACATTGAAGCTATGTAGTTGGACAAAACTTGAGAATAGTATAATTAAAATAAAACATATCTTTTCAACATTTTATTAAATTCATGTAGATAATTACAGCGGTCTTAGGTGGGTGATTCTCCATTAGGTAAGGGGGGGGGGGGGGTTAAACTACTCCCCCTCTCAATAATAGTAATATTTTATTAAATTCTTTAAAATTGCTTAATACAAACCCCGGCCACCTCCTAATTGCTAATCAAACAACTGCTAAAACAATTATATAAAACATATATAATATGAATCAATTATAATACCAAACCATTACTTCTATGCTAAGTAAATAAAAAGACTTACTTCACAAATTCTAGCATTACAATGGTTGCTTGACTAATGACGACCAAAAAATACAGATTCTTAAACTGACCAAATGTTTACAATGTAATGTAAATTGTAGCTTATGCGAGTAGGACACAATTAAATAAAACCTCTTAAACGGTTTCAAATGCGCAATATATTAAATAAATTATTTAAACCATTAGGAGAAACCAGCCATTAGTCCTCCGATTATCAACTAAGTCTAGACAGATGGCGCTAGGCGTGGCAGATTTGACATTTTTGCAGTCCCCCAGTGACTATGGCTGCTGCAAAGGATCCAAGATGTCAAACAGGTAAAGTGACTAATAGATTTCCCATTTTAAGCCGTTAAAGGTGTTTCATTAAAATGTTACGTATTGTTGCTGCACAAACAGCAATAGCCTAAAATATAAGTTAGTTCAGAATTACGTGTAGTTGGGGAAGAAACCCTCTGGTCGAAGAGTGTCCTCGTAACGATAGGGATGACGATTCGCTGTGTCATAGCTTTTCGCTTCTTTGTTGCGTGGCATTTGCTTCTCCATTGGCCTTAACTTGGAACTTTCTAGAATTTTCTAGACAAAATTCATTATATTAACATCCGCGTCCGAGATAACAATATATGAATATGTTAGACATTACTACTTAGGGATCATCCATAAAGTACGTCACACGAATTTCATGATTTTTTGAGCCCCCCGCCTCCTCCCCCGTCCTTGTCACAGGTGGTCACATTTCTGAGACCCCCTCCCTAGTGTGACGTCACATATTTTGCAATTTCACATAAAAAAATTATTAAATTAAAACAGCAGTTCCGAAATTGGTTTTATTTCGTTATTCGATAGAGTTGAAAATATTTTTTAGTTTAATTAATATTTCAAATCACGCGATTAGTACCTCTAGATACATTAGATTTTGAAATGTGACGTCACGAAACTTAGGACCCCTTGTCTACCCCCCCCCCCCTACGTGTACGACTTCATGAATGACCGCTTATGATATTGATATGTTTTGTTTAGAGAATTCAAATATAAAATTGCTATATGGCAAACGTGTCGTTAGTACCAGGTTCACGTCCAATTTAAAAAAAAAACCTACATTTTTTTTCTACGGTTTGATTCTATACATATACACTGCCTCTAAAGCTTAGTTAGAACTTAGTCGTGAGGGTCGAATTCTAGAAGGACATAATAGTTTTCCCTTAGAGTCACAGAAGTGTGTGCTCGTTACCCTCAAAAGAAAAACATGATTCCACTTTCACGAAATGTAAAATGTTATTTATTTATACAGGATTGGATTCGTCCACGTAGAACAGATATGGGCATCAAACTTTGTTTTTGCAAATCTCCTTACCTTTATAAATTATGGCTTAACAAGCGTCGTGGGTAACAGGTATAATTTATAAAACTGAGGAGGTTGTTGCAAAAAAATGGTCTCAAAATATCTACAAGTATTCCATGCTGGCAAAGTCACGGGCACAGCTAGTTAATATCTATTAATAGAAAAAAGATTATGTATGAATAATAATAATTATCAAGTAACTTAAAAGGTTACAATACCCTCGACTGTTCAGCGTAGTCAGTTGGTCGACTAGCAGGTAATGGTCTGATCATCATTCGTGTCTTGGCTAGGGGAGAGCTGGGACCCTTGAACGATATCCAGTATACCGATTGACCGTGATGCTCGTCGACTGGTGAGTATTTTCCATTTAGATTGCTGTAAATAGTATTTTGAATACTGTAATATTTTTTACATGTTATATTGTACATGATGGCACTACATAACTGAAAAACCACCACCTTACATAAAGTGTACTCGCATTTATAAAAAATCTCATAAAAGCGTCCACATTAAATCTAGTGCAAGTTAAAAATCAAGAAACCAAAAAATATCTGAAATGAGGGAAGCGCAACCTTTTATCACATTCCTTGTACCACCAAGCGCCACCATGCTCGACGGCGCACGCGCCATCTTTCCATTCATCGTTATCAATATCAGGGGTTGAGAACTTCTGCCCCGCGTGGTAAGACAAGGAATCGCCTGAAAATAAAGATTTTTCAGGACCTAACTGACTTATATTAAATTGTGAGGCATGGTTAAAAAAATAATTATCGCTATTTTGATTAGACCTAGTTAACATTTAGTAAACTGCAACAACCGGCTCCGTAGCTTCTCGATTTAGCAGTTCGGTGTCCACTGCTGGACATAGGCCTCCCTTTCGTTTCCGTTCGCTAGTTGAATTCAGCATTTCCCTGCTACCTTGACCAGATTGTCGGTCCACCTGGTAGGAGGTAGTCCAGGTTTTCGATACGAGCGATGTGCCCAGCCCACTGCCACTTCAGCTTGCCAATTCGATGGGCTAAGTCAGTGACTTTAGTTCTTCTACGGATCTCCTTTGTCCTGATTCGATCGCGCAGGGTAACTCCGAGCATAGCCCTTTCCATCACACGCTGAGTGACGCGTAGTCTGTGCACTATGGTCGCAGTAGGAGACCATGTTTTGGTACCGTTCGTCATCACTTGAAACACACACTGGTGGAACACTTGAGATTTAAAGCACTGAGGTATACGGGATGAAAACACTTTGTCTAGTTTCCCGAACGCTGCCCAGCCGAGTCGGATTCGACGATTGACCTCTTTCTCGAAGTTGGGGATTGTATAAGTTGACCCAGGTAGACGTATTCGTCAACGGCTCTGTAGCTTAATCGTTAATAATTAAATGTATTGTTAGTCTTCTGGGTTCAGATCCCGTGGAAACTATAGATTGTTTCAGTCGAGCAGGGCACAGAAGTCTGATAAAATTGTCTGTAAATATAAGCGAAAAGATACAGAAATGTGTTTGCCCCATGCCCCACGTGTGGGAAAACGGGAAACATCTAACAACAAGCATTAGACCACTATGAGAACCAGAAGAATTATAGAACGCGACTTCTAGCATCGGGAACCGTTAAACGGTTTAAAAGAATGATTATACAAGTACAACTTACCCGCATTTCCCCTATAGGTGCCCAGTGTACTAATTCTATACCCTTCAAATTCAGGTCCAACTGTGAAGACGGAGAAGGTAGCTGATGCTTCCTGGCCCGACTGCGATTCCATTTCAATCCTCAATTCATATAGTTTCTGGTTGGTGAGATAGTTTAATTTCTCGAGGCCCAACCAAAATTCACCAGCCAAGTTACCAAAACCATGCTTATAGTCCGCCCAGCCCTTATAGAAATCTTGCGAGCCGTCGAAACGATTTTGTATTACCTAAAATGTAAGTTATTCTTAGGATCTTAGCTTCAGCAATCTGTACTTATTATATAAAGCTGTAGTGTTTTTTCGAACGCGCTATTCTCAGGGATGACTGGTTAGAATTTTTGTCTTGGTTGACCATTCATCCAGACAAAAAAACTGCGACAATATATGTCTATCTTTTAAAATTAAGCCGCAAGACCGACAGGACGCGAACGATGTCGCGGGTAACTGCTATCTATACTAATATATAAAGCTGAAGGTTTTGTTTTTTTACTTGTATATTTGAACGCGCTTATGTCAGGATCTACGGGTTTGAATTGAAAAATTATGTATGTGTTATTTAGGTTATCGAGGAAGGCTATAATAATAAAAATATTGCCCTGTGACTAATACAACCGAAGACACAGCGAAAACATTGGGAAAATGATTCATCATTATGGGTTTCCGAGGCGTACGCTGCAAAAAAACGGTTCGAGATACCCAAAAAAATTTATAAAAAAATTATTCCTCTTTAAATGACAAAAAAAAGTCTTCGATATGTCTATCTGTGAAGATTAACTTGCTTAAGTTTATAAAGATGAAGATGAAGACGGTTTGCAAAAACGAATTTGGATGCTTTAATGCAAAATAACGATTCTCGCGGACGAAGTCGCAGGCGCAGCTAGTTTACTATTAATAGGTGGACAAAATATAATTGTAACCATGACTACCCTCATAACTTAAATAAAAAACAAGTATAATTGACTAAGTTTGGTTAATTTAAATAAAACACTTCAACGGTTTAAAACGCGACATATTAGTTAAACTCCACGTGGTCACATCTCCCCGTGACCACGGCTGCTGCAAAGCATCCGAAACGTCGGACCGAAGTTAAAAATCATTTCCAAATAAGCTTAACTAATATATCGCGTTTTAAACCGTTAAAGTGTTTTATTTAAATGTGTACTACTCGCGTAAACTATAGACAGTATTTAAGTTTGGTTAATTTATATGCGTAATCAGTGAAACGATGACACAGAACTACGCCTAACGTAAGTTGACACTTTAAATAACATATGTTTGTTGAAAGATGGCGCTTACCGTCCATCCCCCACCAGCGCTGTTGAGGTCGCAAAGTACATAAAACGGTTCCATATCTTCAGGCCTTATTTTGTATATACCAGACACATTGAATCCTTGCAACTGTATTTCTTGACAATCGGTTGGATATCTCTCAATGCGATCTACTCTGCCTATTCTAAAAAAAAATATTTACTATTATGCAATGTAAATAAAATTTAATTTAATAAAAAAAAAAAAAATATTTTAGTAAAATTAAATAAAACAAATGAAACTTATTTCGTCGTGCTCGTTGATCTAATGATTATTATCCAACATTGCTACAATCAACGGGCAGTGGGTTCGGTCCCCACCGGGCCTAACGTGTTTTTAATTATTCAATTTTTAATTTGTCTTTAACATGTTGGACTTCGTCCGGAAATCTGGATATTAAATTGGTTGTATTTAATTGGAAGTGGTAAAATATAAAATGTTCATAGAAAAATTAATTGCTTACTTGCAGTCGCACTTTTTAACTTTCTGTTCTTGCAACGCTCTCCTGAATTCTGTTATTAGCCCGATAGCTTCCAACGATCCCCCAACATCAGGCCTAGAAAGAATGTAGATAAATATTTAGAAGAGCATGACATAAAATGTGAATCGACTTAAATTTGGTACTTAATGATAGCGCTATAGCATAGAGATACTTGAGTTTTGACGATATTGTTCGTCTTACAGTAGCTATGTAGGACTAATAATCGACAGGTCGTGACGTTTCTGAAACATGTCGGACTTCGACTGGATATATGGATATTAAACGGCTAGTAGGAATGCCCGGGTGCCGGGGTCCGGGTTACGACCTACCATCTACACATAAAGCATGAAGTTTATCCAAAGCAGATAGATCGACATCTTGTTTAGATATTATATGGCTGGGGTATTTCAAGCTTTGGTTACACTTGATAATAGTATCAAGTGTAACCAAAGCTTGTCTTTCCTCCTTTATCATATAATAAAGTTAAAAGGACTTCAGAAACTGCTACAAATCAAACAATAAATTAAAGTCACGATGGCATCTTAGCTTACTCAAAACTTATTACACAGATTCATTTTTCTTTGTCATGTCAATTTCAAGAATAGTACGTTAATTGAGTCAAAGTACTTGCAGCTCAATTCAGCTATTTACTCAGGTTGCCATATACCTGGTTCTGGGCGGTCTCCCTCTTGCTTATAACTAAACTGGGTCGCTGCTAATGTTATTTAGAAAAATAATATAATCTTACCTGACTATGGTACGTGCGTTCTGTCTCGTTTTAACCTCGGATATGATAGTAGCGATCGATTCGACACTAGTCATTATATTTTTCATGTGGCTTTCCAAGAATGTAAGTCGGCTGTCTAACGTCGTGTCGAGTTGGTATTCAGCACCTTCAACTGGTGGAAAGATAAATGTTAAACAATAGTATCCTTCATTGTTTTTAAAAAGTAAGAGAGGTATATATATTTAGTTTTATAATTTATGGAGCAGGAAAGTCCCGTAATACATTTGCACTCATAATTAGAACAGCTAGAAAAAAGCTAAGTAGTATATCAGAATTGTTTCTCAAAATACTGCCGTTTACGTTTTTACTAATAATAAGATTAAATATATATATTTTAAAAGTATTATCGCACCCTTTGCTCTCGGGTTCTTCTCGAAAATATTTTTTATTTCACTCAAATCATTCTTGATCTTCTCCAGTTCCGTCTCTAACTTCTCAGAATTTCCCGAATTCTGCATGCTATTAAAGATCTCCGCTAAATATTTAAGTATACCGTTAGTTTTTTCATGCACCTCTATATCCAACCGGTTTAGTCTGAAATCTATACTGTCTACCTTCTTCAGGTACTTTTCACTTGACGTTATGGATTCCATCAATTTCTCTATCACGACTTCGTTATCTGAACCCGAAGTGGACTGAGGAACGCGGGTAAAGTTCTTGTGCCGTTTGGACGACATCATAGCGTCAGTCAACTCATTCTCATATTCATTCTTCCACAACGACTTGTCCCCATAATCATTCTTTCTCTTCCCATGTCTTTCACAGCTGGCACATAAGATTCCGCAAAATAGAAAGAAAGCTAGCCGCGCCATTGGAAGGTGTAACCTGTGGGTTTAAACGTTGGATACTGTCGCAACATTATTCCGAACGCCCGCTAGTTGACAAATATTGTACAGACAAAACAAAAACAAGATAAGAATTCCATTTTCATGACTCTTCAACTGTGGTTGTAGCAATAAGTGTACTCTCATAATTGTCTCAGAGGTGTTATTGTAAACATATAAACTCAGATATTTTTCACGGGAGTGTTCCTTGTTTATAATTGTAGCGACGTAGGCATAAATGCTGATAATATTAAGTAGATTGTATTTTTCTTACGTTTTTTTAATAAATTGGGCCTGCAAAATTTGAGGTAGATGGCCTGTACACCTGTACAAACCTCCAAAACACTATAAATGTCCAATATTTTTTTTAATCCTATAGTTGAAATGTAACAAGCTAAATGAAAAGTATAACAGTCCTTTATTTGTATTATATTATTTCATTCGACGAGTTTTTATAGTTACTGAAATTCAAAATTTTACAAGAAAAGTGAGTTCGTTATGTTGGCATAATAATTTTTATGATTATGGATATTTGTATAGTCATAGGTCCGCAAATAAAATTATTTCCTCGTAGTACTAATCATTAATATCACTTGTGTGTGTGAAATCCCGTTTCCCCCTTGTGGGGCATGGGGCGAACACATTTCTGTGTCCGTTTCACTGATCCGTTTTTTTTAACAGGCAAGTAGTTGATCAGACTTCTGTGCCCTACCCGACCGGAGCAACTTTTTTTTGTTCCCCTGGGATTCGAACCCAGGTCTTCTCGCGTATAACGTAATGCTAGGCAATACGTTTAACCACTTTGCTATAGAGGCGGTAATTTTTCATTATTATTTATTTTTATTAATAGCACTTAGGTAATCTTTAATGTTAATTGTATAAAACGGTTGAAAATCGCCGCATTTGAGCACTCACAAATCTTGTTGCCACGGCTTCTTTGTTTACCTATTTCCTTAATACACTTTTATACGTGTTATATCGCTTGCATTTTTTTACATTTCTAATTAAGTAGATAAACGTGACATGTAAGTTCTTAGGAACTTAACAGAATTAGTTATGTAAAGTAAAGTGTAAAGTGGCAAAGTTGGCGGTAGTTATGGTGTGCTATTAAAGATTCTACAATTAATAAACGCTTATATGAACTTTGATTGGATAAATATAACGGCTTCTTGGTCTAATTGCAGCAACGTACGGCACACTAAAATCTTTCTAATCCAATTGTAATCGTTCAAAAATATTGATAGTAAATGGGTGGTAGGAATAGCGAAATACCGTACTGGTTTTGAACCACCGTCCACACATGAAAGAGCCGTGACGTTTCAGTATAGAAAGAATATACTAATAAATATATTTTTCACGTGATGGTGGGTGAAAAACAAAACGACCAACGACCTATTTTGGCTTTAGATATTCGAAATCCATAATCGGAAGCCGAAACGCGATCATCTTCACGTCTTTCTCATATGTACCGTTCGCATTCGTGCCCGGACGGAATTTCTTACCACAAATATAATATCTACATTTTGAGACGACGTTTAACATGTTTCGGAAGAATTATAAATAAGGGATTAGAAGCACGTTGAGCATCGACCCCACGACCCACGACAGCAACATGCAGTTAGCCTGCATTTAAGAACTGCACTTTCAGACGTCCCAGCTGTGGGAATCTTTAAAAGAGTGACGATAATAATGTCTTACCTCGCATTGTCGGTACATTCTGCAACTTCTCAGCGACCGATTGCTTAATTCTCTCCAAATCCAGTTTTAAGGATCTCAGGGTTTCCTCCATCATAACTCCAGGTGGTGACTTGACAACACGCAGCACCTCCGCTAAATACTTCAAAATACTGTTGGACCGGTCGTGAAACGTCGCGTCCAGGTGACTTATCTTCTTCTCTACAGTTTCCACCATCTTCAAGTATCTCTCACTCGCCATCAGAGTGTCAACGAATTTCTCTACCACCATTTCACCCTTCAACGACCTACCTGTGGTTGTGGGACGACTTGAGATGTTGTATTTAGCTACATAGTTCAAAGCGTCGTTCTCTAACTTCTCCTTAATATGTCTAGATGCCAAGCTCATGCAAATCAACGGGAATAAAATAATTTTATACATCATAAGACCGCCGACGAATTTCGACGAATGAACACGAAGGTGCTACAAGCGAGTGGTAACTTATTATATAAACTTAATTTTAAAACATTTCCTCTTACGGACCTTATTGTTGTATATTGTAATAACAAACATTTTTGTATGGATGGATGTTTGTGTATTCCAATCCAACGTATAATCTTTCGTTGAGTGAACATTTGAGCACGAACAAATTACTAAGTTTAAGGGTTTTTTATACAAGTGAAGAGCCACTACTAAACACAATGTACTTTAAATAATAAATATCTTTATACCACAGATATGTATAATATAGAAATATAAAGTTTTTGTTTGTTTGAATGCGCTAATCTCAGGAACTACTCGTTCGAATTGAAAAATTATTTTTGTGTTGGTTACAGGCATAAAACGTCGCACTGTGACTAATAGGTGTGATGATGAATGAACAATGGGAAATGTTGGAGAAACGGGGAAAATTATTCATCTCTATGGGTATCAGAGGCGTACGCTGCATAAACGGCTTAAGATTATTAAAAAAATATATATGAAAGAATTCCTCTTCCTCTCCTTTCGGCTTTACAAGAACGACGTCGTTGGTAACAGTTAGGTAGATTAAAATGAAAAGGTTTGCAAAAACAAATCTGGATGCCCAAAATTACTATTCTACGCGGACGACGTCGCTGACACAGCTTGTATAATATAGAACTTATTTCAGGCTTCAAACGCTATTAATACTTTTAAGGTGTCAGTTAACACCGTCTTCTTATTAATTTATTGTACACCGTAAAACGGCCGCGTTGTTTCTGGGGTTGGGGTTGGGAGTTGCAGAAACACAGTTTGGGGCATGGCACAAAGATATGTTCAGTAGCTCGTTGACTCTCATACTATATATACATTTTACAATAACACATTTAATTAGGTCTCAACTCGGGAAAAATAAAAATCAAAGTTACAAAACTAAAACTTTAATCAATGTCACGTTTTACAATGTATAGAGTAATTCAGTCGTTTTCTCTCTCCAACTATAGAATATCTCACTTGTTTTGTACTATCGAAATATCTTAGCTAATATAAATAAAGTAAGCGACTCTTAAATCTCCGTTTTATCACAATAGATCACAGTAGACCCTTTCACAGAGATCACAGAAGATTAACTACGCTTATGCTAATAGGAATAAAGAATAAATGAGTAAGAGAGCTAGCAACGTTGTCAAGAATTAATATAAAATAAAGTTATAATTAAATTTATTATATAGATGGCTGAAATTAAATTTTACGTTATTAAAAAGCAAAACCGTGCAAGGTCGTCGCCGTTTTGTTAAATTTTGAAGTGCAATACTGAGAACAGGAGAAAACACTCCAAAAGTGGAGATCTATCATACCGTTAAATAATTGTTTTCTCATAAAATATATACTAATAAATTCTAATAAACAAAACTGTCTAGCGAATTGATTCCACCACGGAATCGCTAGAAAGTTCCACCGTACACGTAGATGAATTTGATGACAATTTATTTTTTTTTTTTTAATGTGGCTAACGACATAGAATAGTATTTTATTAAGTTTCGATGTACGTATTTTTAATTGGTTATCAAGAAGTTTTGTTCGATGCCACATCCTCTGTATTCCCTGTTCCGTGTCACTAGCCGACTTGAACCGAATGAGTATATAAAAAGTCTGATTCAAAAAATGAAATAATTCTCGAAAACGTCGCTAGTTCCCTGCTCTTGTACTAAATGTACAACGTTAAAAAAAATTAAAAAATCTAATAGTTTCACAACCGTGTAACAAAAACAAAATATAATCTAAGAAAAGAATAATAAAAATGAATAGAAAAAAATGAACTATCTAATCAAAGACAAGCTTGCGTTTTGCTGTGCTTTTCAATGCCCTATTTCGAGGCCCCTGTAAATTAAAACGACATTAATTATTTACATCTATTGAAGAGAAACGATTAAAATGCGAAGTGTACAAGTTTACCACCGTGACCACGAAGCATCAGAAACTTCGGGACCTAGTTAAAACGACATAAAAATAAGTTAACTGATATATTTATTTCCCTTTGTTTCTTTGCTCCAATTGATCGCAGCGTGTTAGTATAGATGAGGAACTACTTACTTTTGGCGTTTGGTCTGTATAGACTTTCAAATTAAATTTCTTCTTTGGGGTAGCTGGTACATAAGAAGCTACCGGAACATAAGGAGCTACCGGTACACAAGGAGCTACCGGTACATCAGTATTAGGCAACTCTATTCGCTGAAAACCATACTCTCGACCCTGATTTCCATCTTTCTGCAGATCCTGCATCCTAAAAAGAAACATTCACACATCAGGAATTTAGGTTTGACATGATCTGCTGTAAGCTCAGAACTAATCAGAACTGCTTGGAGGGGCCTTTCAAGCTCTTATAATACTTGGCTTGGTAGGAAGAGAAGTGTGGACAATGCAAGTGCTGGACGATCAGTAGAGAGATCTCTTAAACCTTATTTCTGATCACAACTCCCGAACATTACACATACTTCTCAACCTGGCGATGGATCTGGCACACCCAATAAGTTAATTACCTTTATTAAAGTTCATACAAGGGATGCACATAACCTTTATTGATATAAGACCTCTGTGCTGTTTCTAAACAAAATATCAATTACATATATACACCAAGGAATCATGTCAATGCTTCCAAAGTTATTTCTTGAAACCGTTAACCAAAATTGTAAAATTAGTTTGTGAATCTATTTTTGGTGGTCTGCATAAGCGTATTGCAATAAAAAACGGATAAACATATATTTAGAAATTAATGTTCTTGTCTTCTAACGTAACCTTTAGCAGTAAGTATGCACAAGGAAATAAAATCTATAAAAGTTCATGTTTATGCAAGATACTGTACCATTTTGCATTAGTGTCAGGTTGATATTTCATCCAGTCTCGTTTAAATGGATTTAGTGTGCAAAAGCTTTTGCACAATTTTGATATGTCAAAACTCTTTTCAAGCTTCTTGACCACAAATCTTTCAGACAAGGGCTTTGGTGGTGATGACGAGTCCAATAATGAATCATCTTCCTCCAAAGGCCTGCTAAAAATTAGAAAACACATATTTAGTACTTAGTTGTAGTACCTGTATTTGTGAATCTTATTATTCTTTTGGTTACATAATAAACAGATTTGTTCGGACGGTACGCAGAAATTGTTTACAGGTCAATAAAGAGGATCAGGAAGATATCATAGAAATAATCAAATATCCCTAGCACAGGAGAAAAGGAATTCCAGGTTCATTAGAGATTATGCAATCTACTATACTAATATATAAAGCTGAAGAGTTTGTTTGTTTGAACACGCTAATCTCAGAAACTACTGATTCAAATTGAAAAATTATTTTTGTGTTGGTTAGCTCATTTATCGGGGAAGGCTTTAGGCTATTATAAAAATCATGCTATGACCAAATGGAGCATAGAAACAGTGGGAAATGTGGAAAAATTATTCATCTTAAAGGATTTCCGTTGTGTAGCTATCAAAGAGAGACAAGATAATAAGACTGACGTCGTGGGCGAGGGCTGTAATTTATAAAGAAAAAGTTTGAAAAAACAAATTTCGATGCCCAAAGTTATATATTATTTTAACACTAGCTATTATTATTAGCACTTATTTTCTAGTCATAGTTGTTTGTTATATCTTAAATAAAATATGATTGCAACTCGGAGTGAAGGTGAAGCTTACCGAATTAATGCATTAAGTGAGGTCAGAGAATTCACCCCGGGTATATATGTTGCATTTTGATGAGATTCTTCTGTAAAAAAAAAAATTAATTGTATTGGATGCCCTTGGGTGCTACAATGGGAACTTATTCCTAAACGACCACTCTTCGATAGAAAACATTTTCAATGAAAAAATTTTGTCAGGTTCAGAATATTTACTTCTATTGGTTTGTATCTAAAGGGCTTCCATAAGATGGTTCCTTGTCGTTTTTGTAAGTTGACCGCATTTATCATCCGATAAATTATATATCCATATATTCTGATCAGAAGACCAAGCAAACTCTTTAGTCTGGTTACGTTTACGGTTTTGGCGGGAAAAGAATATTTTATTAAATTATATTAACCAAGTTGAAAAAAAATTGTTTAAGGTATTCACTGAAACATTAACATTACACAAGAAAGAAGAGAAGTCTTCTACCGTTCTTCTTGTCGAAGGCATTAAGTACTTACTTTTCGGTTTTGCTTTTCTTGTTGCACGACCCTTCATTCTGTAGCATGGTTTTTTTTTTGCAGGCATTTTCAGTTAGTGTAATAAAAGGATCAAAAACCAATGTTTAACAATCTTAATTTTAAAGAAAACTATTGTCTAATAGGAATTTAATAACAATTAATAGGAAAATGAAATAAAAAAAAAACAAATCAAGATGAAGTCTACCGTTACTGAAACCACGCGTGGAAGTAATTTCAGTAATCCATGTGCCGAAACCTTTAACCTAGTACAAAGAATATCCATCAGAGTCGGAAAGACACTGCAATTTCAAATTATCACTATGACATCCTTGACCCTTTTGTTTTAGCTGTATAATACGTGTCAGCGGCCATGTTTGCGAAGTTTCTATTCGTCAATGTCAATTGTCAGTTTGATGACAGTTATCTGTCTTTTTAATTAAACCGCGGTTTTGCAATTTGACAATGCGAAAAATATAGCGTAAATTACTTTTATGAGGGTAAAGTATAATTTTCGAACAGTAATGCAGTCACATACGTAAAAATAGTAAATAATCAAATAAAACAACTTTAAACATTTGTCACGTGACACAAAACACTCCTGATTGGTCGGGTTAATAACGAAGTCACTTGCTTATAAACACTGACATATAATTTAAATAAAACACTTTAACGGTTTAAAACGCGATATATTAGTTAAACGGGGAGACTCCCCTTGACCACGGCTGCTGCAAAGCATCCGAAACGTCGGGCCGGAGTTAAAAATCATTTTCAAATAAGTTTAACTAATATATCGCGTTTTAAACCGTTAAAGTGTTTTATTTAAATGTGTACTACTCGCGTCAACTATAGACAGTATTTACTATCATATAACTTAACATTGTATTATAAAGTTAATACCCACGACATCGGTCGCGTCTCGTTGTTCTTGCAAGTTAATTTTAAAAGATAGACATATAGTGTCGCGGACATATTTTAGTTAAAGAGGAATCATTATTTCGTACATATTTTTTGGGTACATTGAACTGTTTTCGCGGTGTACGCCTCTGAAACCCACAGAGATGAAAAATTTTCCCCGCTTTGTTCACATTTCCCGCTGTATCTTTGCTTCTATTAGTGACAGGGCGATGTTTTATAGCCTCGATAAATGTTACCAACACTAAAGATTTTTTTTAATTCGAACTTATTGGAGGTTAGCGCGTTCAAACAAACAAATCAACTCTTCAGCTTTATACAAGGTTATTCTTTGTTGATACTAAAGCTGAAGTACGCCAAACGGCTTTTTATTCGCAGAATCAGGATAAAAAATAATGAAAACTCACGAAGTTGTGAATTTTTTTCATGTTATTGTTTATCCCGCAACCACATGGTCACCAGTGTTGCCACCTTAGCGATTTTATCACTAGATCTAGTGAGTTTTTTGGATTGGTTGCGATTTTTTCAAATATATTTTCACTAAAATATAATTTGGTGATTTTTACTGATAATCAAACGGTGCTAAAATTACTAATAAATATTTTGAATGAAATATATTTTGTTACTTTTTTTTTGTATTTTACGTTTATAATATTAAGGTAAAAAGCTTAATCTAAGAAAATAAATGTATACAGAAATATACCGATAGATTGGTATAATAATTTTATCACCCTGGCCATCCATTTACAGTATGCTTACATATTCACGGATGAAAGATACCTCCATCGGTTGGGGATTCACAACTAAACACACTGAACAGCATTCTGTTTATAAGAAATTAGCTGAAGATATTGAAATCAAATTGTTTTGAATATGAGCTTCCGGCTAATGTAATTAGCGCTATTGGCAGTAATGCAAAGTATGCTTTTAAAATGGGAAAGCCTGATAACCAGCCCTTAACATCTTTAAGTCCTGAAATTCACCACAATGACGAAGAAGTACCCCCAGAAGTGGTTGGAAGTCGAATTTTAATGATGATGTCGATTATTATTTCAATAAATTTTTAGTACATTATACATGTTTTATATAGTGATTTTTAGGGATTTCTGAGAAATACGAAAAATCAAAATCTAGTTACTTTTGGAACTAAACCTAGCGACCCAAATATCTGCAAGGTGGCAACACTGATGGTCACTGAGCAGGTGTCGACGCAGCGCGCTATCTCGTACCCCCTCCCTCTCCTCCGCTCCGCGTCCTGCACCTTACACTACACGATTCACTACTTTTATGTACTTATTGTCCGCTCACAGAATGTATTCAACTTACAGAACTTTTGCAGAGCAGCTCTTGTGCTCGTCTAAAATGATAAAGGTATTGGTGGTCACCTTTTACGTTACGTGGTACGTTAGATAATCTCCTCGCCTCTGTCTACTGTGACTGTAACGCTCAGCATTGTGTTCCATGATACCAAATTGTTCATGATAACGTCTCACTGCTTCGGCAACATTATCACCACACAAAGCAAGTGTTCGCACCATTTCCACATATTGTACATTGGTATAATTGTAAGACATGTTTGTAATTAAAACACTTTAAAAAACACCGCGAAACGACGAGACACTCGTGGGATGCGCAATCGCTTGCTTGCAATTCGGAAGAAAGTTGTTACGTAATCACCGCGTTAGGGTTGCGCACGCACTGACTCTAGACTAGAGACTGGGAGCGGGTAACGGTTAGTTCAAAGCGACGAGCGGCCGCCGCGGCTTCCCCGAATTTTTATACATATTGAGTTATACTTATGTAGGAACAGTGTGGCCATATCAAAAAAGGCAAATCTGCTCGGCAATCGCAAGAAAATCTGCAAATTCTGCCAAACCTATCTCAAAAATATGCCATCATATTATTATTCCATCAAGACAAGTAGGATAAATAAAATACAGAATATTTTAATTTTAATCTATTTTATATATGCATAAACATAGTACAAATACCATCTTCATGTGTCAACATTTGCTTCCGCCTCTTCTTTTTCAATATATATTGATTTGGTCATCATTTTAAGCATTTCTTTTGTAGGTGTAAAAGACATACAATCTCCGTGTTCTTTTACACCTTCTTTTGTTGTTATAAGAGCGGAAACATGTTTGTTAATAAACCTGTTTCTTATTTTGGTTTTATTTAGGTTAACTTGGGAGAATATTCTCTCGCATGATGCGTTTGACATAGGCAAACTTAGAAGAGCTTTTGCAAAGTTTGTAATATTTGCATATTTTGGGACTCCCTTTGCATCACCAATTTTCCCAATCGCTCCCCAAAATTTATCCACACTTAAAATTGTACTGTTGCTACTTCCACCAGATTCCAATAAATCACGTACATCTTTGTCAAATTTGAGTTGTCTAAGTTCGTCGTCAACAATCTGAATATTACTTTCAACAACTATGTTGGGAAATTTATTTGCAATGTTTACGGTTGATAGAAAATCTTAGTAAACAACATTTTGTGGGTCTAAAAACTGTAAATCTTTAAAGATATTATTAAGTGGCAATCGTTTTTTTAACTGAATACAGAGTTCAATTAAAAACGTGCCCATTTTTTAATAATTTAAACATCCGTTTTAAAAGTTTCTATATGGATTTCGTTGAAAACTGCCAAAATCTGCCAGTTTTTGCAATCGTCAACATATTCTGCCAGACTCAAAATTTAGGTCCCAAATCTGCCCAAATCGCAGAAATCTGCCACAAATGGCCACACTGTGTAGGAATTTATTTAGCGAACGGTGTCCATGATTTCAAAAATTTCATATAATTTTGAAAGAAAATAAAACGTGGTATAAAAACTATTGGAATGGATTCTGCTACTGATTCTGAACAAACTTTCAAAATACTTTCAGGTTTCGCATGATGTAGGAATAACCCTGTATATTAGTATAGATGGAAGTGGTATGTATGTATATTATGACTGCAATCTAAGAATTTTGTAGTAAGATGTGGGGCAAGTTAAAAAAGAACAGCGAAATTATATTTTATTTTAAACAATGTCTGCTGGCTACACTTCCAGGAAAGCTCGCTGACACTTCAGAGAAACTTACAAAGTAATAAAGGTACATAATATCCGTCGATCGACCGCTGACAATCGCCGATTACGGTAATACAGTGTTTTAAATAACTTCCTTTTCTGCCAATGTACTGTTACATTTTACGTAGAATTTAATCTACATGTAATTTGTTTGTACACTTTGCTTGGTTATATGAGATTTTCGGGGCGAACAACTTCATTGAGTACTTAGGTATTATTCGAGACTACATAGATAAAAGTGGTGTTGAACTTCAAAGGTTACAATAACTTTGATTCCGTTAGGACCGTGAATATTCACTTTATATTATCAGATTTGAAGACATCTTTTTATTACAGCAACTACACCAATAATGCATTTTTGTAGTTATTATGTGTCTACTAAAATTCAACGACCCACTTCTAGCTACTAAGATACTATTAGTACTTTAATAAAAACATATCTATATTATTCTTTATACTAAGACTACATGGTAGAAGGCATTTGGTTTAATACCGGCTGTACCACTGGACGTTTGTATAAAAAAAACTCTCGTGATCATAAAAAAGATACATTAAAACAATTTACTTCCTAAAATAAATCCTTATAAATACTTTTTGAGTGACATCAACGTAACCTAGAATCCTAGCCATCTCACAAATGATAAACTTCATCATCATCATCAACATGGACACGAGTCAATTAAAGAATATCTTAATTGAGAAAACGAAATGAGCCACAGTGAATAACGGTTCGTGGTTTCTTTCAGCGGGATCCAGCATGTTTTGAATTCTTTCTGAAACAAGTTGGATTTTGCCAGGAAATCTGGCAAAATATTTAATGGCGGGAATATCGGAAATTCCGTCTGAGTCACTAACCACCGACCACAGACATAATCGAGAATCAGGTGAACGCCAAGCTTCTCTATCTTAAAAAATACAATACAATATGGGCACATTATTTTTCTTTTGATCTCTTTATGATAAAGCCGATTAGAGTAGGTACACGTTAGTTAACAGATGGTTAAGCGAGAGTAAACGTTGGAATCAAAGACGTATTATGTTACAATTCAGAGATATACTAAACAAGCCTATCACGAGAAAAAGCTATGCTTTCTCCACCAGTTCTGCCGTAATAAAATTATGTTTCTTACGAAGGGTAGCCAAACAGTGACTATTTTTATTATCAATGAACACTTAAATTTGTATCGCTCACAATAATTGAAGGAGAAATACTTATTACTATTATCTAGTAACAACTTGAATACTGGCAGACTACTTATTAGAAACTGGGCAACATTGTAATATGTTTAGGAAATTTATAGCGTAAGAGCGTTTGCTATTACTAAAGTTTTAACAGTATCTTAATAAGAGACAAAAATATTCAACCGAACAATGTAACGTAATTTCGATGTAGTTCATATATAGTACAAATAATCTTAATAATTAGTTAAATTATTTGATAATCGTTACAAAATAAAGAAATATTGAATTGTTTCTGTTTGGTTTCATATTCGATATTCTCGTGTATAACTTAACATAATTTTTCCCTAATCTACTTTATAATTACAAAATTTGTATGTCTCTGAATGTAATCCACATATCGGATTTCATTATCGTTGTTTGAATAATATAAGTAAATAATTTACAATATTAAATTGCGCGGATATTTTTAATATGTAACCTTGGACGTATTTAAGTTAATATTACAAATATTTTAAAAGAAATTACCAAATATCAGCAAAAATAACGAACTAATTTCACGAAAAAAAAGTTACTAAATTTAATAATCTTTTAACCGCACGTAACCCTTATATGACTCCTGTGGTTCCTCAGCAGTGCGAATACAGTCGGAATTGAAATTCCGAAGATTCTAAAATATCATCTACTAAAATACAGTAAGCTAATTACGAACTATAAAAAACTGGACTAAAAATGAATATTTTAGTCTTATTTAATATCGCACAAATTACATATTCCTTTAGTATAATAATATCTATAAATTTCAATAAATCGAAATAAATATAAATATGTATCTGGATTTCCTTCTATTAACTCTAGTATATTTCTGAACTTATGGCCTTAGTAATTTACTTGTATAAATTATAAACACTTTTAACATGGAATTCTTTCTTACCGGCAAATTATTGACAATTGTCCTATAGATTGAGGTCAAAATTAAAATACAAACTTCCCACATTATAGGGTTGTAAAGGGGGTTTAATGCAAAGTATATGACGTCGTAATAGCGAGAAGATCTCAGAAATATGATCAGCTGTAAAGGGAGTAAAATAATGGAGTGGCATAAGAAAAAAAAATAACCTGAGCATCAAATACCAGCCTTAGGCCGTAAGATTAAGATTGTTACTCTAACTCGTTATATCTAAAACTAACTATCTCATAACGCTATACCGTATTACAAAATGGAGTTGATTGATTATTGTTTGTGTCGATTACGTGTAAAATTTAAATTAGATCGCGCATTCCGAAAATCGAATTCGACATTTGAAAAAGAATGCTTGCTTTCAGAGTTCCGAATTTGAAATTTGAAAAAAGAATGTTTGATTCTTAAATCAAAAATCTTACTAACTAGAGACTCATGTAACAATGTTTAGAGTTAATAAATGTTGAAAGCAGTGGCGGCGAGTTTATTGCCAATTCTACTAAGAGTAATAAATGTAAACTTTTTTCGTTTTTTTATTATATTAACGGTAATAACTGTACCTAGTTACCTTCACGAGTAAATTATTTTTGTTTCGTAACTCAAAGAACGGTCGTTAGGTTTCTTCTTTAAAGACCAGGGATCTTTATATGTGTGTAAATGTAATTTTTTTCTTACACAATCGAATTTTCATGCTTTACATTAATCGACACATTGTAAACTCTTACAATAAATATATACAATTTTCAAATCCGAAGGGAAATCTATTTTACATATTTTATGAATGGTAACATATTATACAACTAGATTAACAGTTAGACTGATATTATTGCGTTTCTCACTGTAAGTTCAATTAGTAATATTCTCTATAATAAACGCCCCTCTAAGAACGGCAACATGGATTTTTTAAAGCCCAATTTTGATATTTCAACTGTATTAAAATAATAGTTTTCTATGTTATTCTTCCACAGGACAGACGTTTGTTTGTGTATGTATTTTTTATTTACGTAGGCAATAAGACTTAGGTGGCCTACACGAACGAAACTACAAAGTTACCGGGGTTCGAACGCGGGATCTGTACTGTACAACGTACAAAACAATTTAAATATGTATAGTGAAGATAACAGAATTGGGCTTTGTTGCTTGGATACATCCGCAGACACGCTACCTTTAGAAGTAACAATTCTCGTAATTGAATTTTTAATATAATATTGATACAACTTAGTGTCTCTTGAGAGTATTACTTACTTATACTATTTTTATAGTAAATGCTATCTTTAAAAACAAAAATGTATAGCGAATCGTAGACACGTAAAGTAGCATATCTGCGGTGAGTTTTAAATTACAATAACAATTCCTAAAATGACAGGTACATATGTCGAAAATCTGTCACAATTCTCACTATTTAATTATGCTTTTCACTTATACATTGGATTGCACTTAAAATGTGCATTGGCTTCTGATTGCGTCGATAAGGCTAGCCAATACTTAATATAGCATTTTACATTTGTCTATAAAACATTACATGTAATAAGCACTATACTTGTAAACCGCGGTAAAGGCCAATTATTAATATTGTACGAGAGAACTATAAATATTTACCATCCAATGCTAAATAAAAGACACTCATATTTTGTAGAAATACCAACACATGAGATTCTAATTAAAAAAAACTTTATCAGATCTAACTGGCGGCTTCAAAACGGTATACTAAAATACCATAATTTTACTCGCGTAATATCTCGTGGAATGGAAAGAACGGGCGCCACGAAGTCACTCGGCATTCGAAATAAATTCAACGTCGGAATTACATATTCGAAACGTCATTTGGCGTGGCAGAGAAACTAGCGCCAAGTGTCAAAATCGCGAAGCTGTCTAAGAACGACACATCAAGAGTTTTCCATACAATTTACACGGTTACTTGTATTTATTAAACATAAATAAGTATTTATGTTATTTGTACTGAAGAGCGAGCAAGTGATTTAATTTTTTGAGCTAAGGGAATTAATAGCATTTCTTTCAGGGATTTACTTAGACGATCCAATATTGGTCTTAAATATGTGAATATTAACATATGAACATTCTTTCTATAATTTTGTCTTTTGAAAAGAAACTTATTTTAGTATTACTTATTTTTTAAAATCTAAATCTCCCTAAGTTCTACTTGGTGGAACGCACCAAATTTTGTTTTCTTTTTTATACAATGATCGATCTGATTATACTTAAACCAAGTTTAAACTTAAAATCAAAAAGAGTGTCGTTCTTAAACAACTTCTCGACTTGCCGCTAGGGGCGCGCGTAATCTCTGCTTCGCCACTACAGTGGAACACTGACCGTCATTCTACTGTACTAGCACTAATAGCTATTTAACATCGTAATCAACATAACGCGGCGTTATAATACGACCAGAGTCAACGATGGGTGTCAATAACTCTTCGGATGGCACTTGGATTCGTATCCTGTTGTCTGGGGCATTAGTACCGTTGGTAGCGTAGAAACCCAGAGTGGTAGGTTTGTTAATCTCTGTATACCCTTTGTATTTGGATGGGCTCACAGGCTGTAAGTGCGATGGACTGGCGGCGAGTGGGCTGTAGGTGACGTGGATGCGGACTACGTCTTCAGACGACGGCGACACAGACGACGGATGTGGGCTGCCACGCGGGGTGGAGTGAACAGTCTGCCTCGGCGTAGACATCGCGCGTTGAATACTCAACCCGCAAATACCCGATCTGCAAAGTGAAACGTGGACAATAGAACGAGGCATAAATAATATAAACAGTAGGGCCGCAAACCAAATTATGGTATGTTATCTGTGGCATGCATAGTTAATAGCTAATACTGCGTCAGCGTATAATAGTTATTTTGGGCGTTCGTCGTTCTTGCAAGTTAATCTCAAAAGATAAAAATACTGTCCCAATCATTTTTTTAGATCATGAAAGAGGAATCATTCTTTCATGCAATTTTTTTTGGGTATTTTTAATCGTTTTCGCAGGGTATGCAACGTAATCCCACAAGGTTGAATACATTTCCCCCGTTTTTCCACGCTTCCAGCTGTTTCTTCGCTTCTATTAGTCGCAGCGCGTCTATAGCATTCCTCGATAAATGCTTTAAACAACACAAAAAGTGTTTTTCAATTTGTACCAGTAGTTCCTGAGATTTGCGCGTTCAAACAAACTCTTCACAAACAGATTGCTTTGTTAATTTTACGATTAGTAATTAGGATATTTATAATAAATTAATAAATATTACCCCATTTGAAATATAAGGGTAGTTCTCACATAATAGCTAATATTTAAATGGAAATTTTATTTGTTTCATATTTGAGGCCGTTCAGTTTTACGTAAACACTATAACTGGTTTTATATTTGAATCGAAGTGTCCTAGCGAAAGCAAGGCGTTTCAAAAACCGAATGCCATCGGTAACAGATTATGTACATACATAATTTATTGTCGATACATTTTCCACTAATGAAGTAATGAACGCGAACTGCTGTCAATATTCTCAGTCTTGACGAATACGCACAAGCAAAGCCATACTGAGAAATAGTATATAAGTACTAAAGATGTGTCAGCGCTGGTGGATTGCTTTGGCTTAACTAGGCATCTGTCTAAATGAGCTGACCAATGGGGAGTGGATGCATAAAATAATTCTAAGCTGCATCTCTATTTAGTAACACCCGATTTTAAATATTCGTCACATATTTCGTTTGATAATAGTAAAAGTCCCGTAATCCCTGTCTAAATGTATTATTGTAGTAATAACGAAAAAGTGCATATATAATTCTTACTCCGAGACCTCAATTTTTTTTTATTATGGTTATTCTAAAGAATAAAACTTGATAAATGACACAATAACGTAATAAAAAGAGTATTAGACTAATTGTTGTGAAAAACCATGTGTCTTTGAAATTCACGACGAAACCTGATGTATTTAAATAAAACACTTTAACGGCTTAAAACGCGATATATATTAGTTAAACTTATTTGAAAATTATTATAACTACTTCCCGACGTTTAGCCTCCCCGTGACCACGGCTGCTGCAAAGCATTCTAAACGTAACGAAATAAGATTAACTGATATATATCGCGTTTTTAACCGTTAAAGTGTTTTATTTATATGTGTACTATTCGCGTAAACTACAGAGAGTATTTAACCTAATGTATTGTAAAATTATATTATAAAACTATTCAGACATTTTATTTTTTTTATTACACACGAGTTAAAATCGGGTGTTAAAAGATAGAGCCTGTACTGAATGTCAGCGGGGTGAATATGACCCACCTACCCAATCCCACCGCGTGGACATTCCCACTGGTCACAGACGCTAAGAGATAGTCGTCTTTGAGTTAGACCGCCAACTCTGCCATTGTACACCTTTGTACCGGTCCTTGTGACCCCACCTTTAGATCGTTTTTTTTTAAATCGATTGAAGTGATGATCTACAAACACTACTACGATTCCTACGTTTCAGTCGAGTAGCTTAAGCGTTTGTCTCTTTAGTGATGAAAACGTAGAGAAAACATCTATCTTGGATAAAAGATTTAGGTTAACTCTGGGGTTTTAAAAACAAGTGAAATTTCGTGCGTTCTATAACACTCTACAACATTTCTCGTGAGAATGCGCAACATCACCGATGGGGATCATTCAGCACATGTGTAACTAATATCGTAATATTATTAAGACTTAAAAACTTCATCATTTGTACAATAACAAGGTATTTATTACAATGTAAAAAATTGTTTCCCCCTTTGGAACAGACAGCGAACATATTTTAGACTCGTAATCTAGCCTTTATTTGTCATACTATTAAATATGTTATAAATTAACCCCACAATCCGAACAAAGCCCAAGATAATAAATATAATTTTATTCAAAGCTACCCTAGCGCCAATGAGGAGTAATGCTAGTTCCAGAATTTTTAAATAAAGCTCAATCTATTACAAAATAGGTACACATATGCACTTGGGGTAGACAAAGTGGTAATTCTCTAAAGAAAATACTTCAAACACTCCATACCCATGTAACATCATTGTATAGAGAAAAACTGAAAATTGAAAAGTTAAAGACTATATCCAGTCTCAAATCGTACAAAATAGGGAAGAGATGTGGAATTTAAATCTCAGTATTACGAGCTAGACATCAAAAATATATATACCAAAGCGAGCAAACAATATAATGTATCAAAACTTTAACTATTTCGCATGTTGTTTCATTGCATTATATAAATTAAAAATCAATTTGGATTTTTTTCCACACGGGACATAAACCGGACTCCACAGAGCTCCGTGCTGTTCCTCTAACCAATTGGGCTACCGTGTCTATATAATATAATAATAACATTATAAATGTATTAAGTTATTCTAAATAAATTTTAAAATTATTATCACTATTGTATGTAAAAGTACTAGTAGCTGATGTTTAAATTGGACTTAGATAATTATATTGTTCGCTTTGATGCATAGATTTCATAGTCATTTTTAAACAGCACGCTCCATGAAATTTCCGCGTAAACCTTAAAATAATGATTACTTTATCTGAATATAACTTTTCCCATTAAAAATATACACATAGAAATAGAATAGACACCATAATATAACCACGTTGTCCAGTCAACCTTCTTTTTAACTAGTATGAAAAAATAATAAATGATATTAGTAACTTCGGGCTTTTTTGAAGCAATTTCAAGAAACGTTATAAAAATGACTCGTGTCAATTGGGGGCTACACTAGCGCACTACACAAGAAATCTCACCCATCTGACCCGGTAGCATCGTCGCTGATGTTGCTGTGCGTGTCCAGGGAGTTGTCCGGGGCGTGGGACCGGCCGCTGGAGAAAACGCTCAGGTCTGCGGTACTCGTCACGCTGGTGTCGGCCAGGGACCGCCGCGAACCCAGCACGGACACCGAATCCTCGCACCGGACCCCCGCAATCGTGCTGTGCTCTATAAACACAACTATAACATTTGCTCGTGCCGCGGTTGAACCACCAATATCTATACCGCTAAAGCGTACATTTGTAGTTCACGCAAGAAACACATTTTCATAAAACACTCAACGATTTACAACGGGAATAACCCGTTTTAAACAGTTAAGCGTGTCACTAAATGCGCCAAGCAAAATGATGATGCCAAAAAGCATGCAAAACATAAAAAGAAACTTACCAAAGCTTTCTCACGAACTTAAGCCACAAACTGTGAGCACACATGCAAACGTGGTTAATAAAATCTCTGCTCGATAATTAAATATTATAGTCACACTTTTTCGCTACTCTCTGTTCCTTCTTTATCAAATAACTTGGGGGATTGTTGCGGTAACTGGGCGGGCAAGGGATGGGGGGTTCCAGATTTATGTTCATTGAGGCTTGGGAGGTGCGGAGAGGTACGCCCTGAGTTTTATCATCTGCAAACAGACATCGCTGCTTGATTATTAACCTTCGCACAGAGTAACTGATCTTTAAATACTTATAAATCATCAACGGGAGCAACTACAAACATTCCATCGCTTCAACGATGTGACAAAATGAAATTGCACTAGATACTATTAAATTTTTATTACAAATCAACTTTTAATAGGTCCTCTGGATAGATCCTCTTAAAACTAACAGTCCTGTGAGATGCAGTACAATACAAGTGATAGGCTCAGGGTGGGTTTATGTTAAATAAAGAAGAAAAATACGGAGCAGAGATTTCTTAACACAGATTGCTAGTCTCGACGTGCGTGAATGAGGAGGTTAGGTAAAATTGTTAGTATGGCCACAGCGGACCTCATATGATTTCATAGAAATTAGTACACTTGTTAATCATAATGAACATAAACCCACCTTTTGCCAGTGCATCAAGGTATTGTTAGCCCATACTACGAATGAAGTGGACAAGATTCTTGGCAAGCAAACAGTATGACCACAATAGGTACAATTGTGACTCGTGAATCGTCGGCTAGTTCACGATATATTAACAATTAACATACACAATGATTTGCCGAGTTGTAACTTAGATTATATAATTATGTTTATATGAAAATGCAATGGGATAAATTCATACCAAGTTACCTCTACAGTAACATATATTAATGGCATTTGATAACTAAACTTAAATTAATAAATACACATGATATAGATTATACTAAGTACTTATGTGAAACTAAATTGATAACGTTTTTTTTTATAAAAAAACGTGTTTAGTTCCTTTTTTACGATACCTCACTAGAGTGTATGAGGTGTCGAATTATTATTATTAAACAAAATTTTAAACGTTGGGATATATTGCTTTAACGTGTCATTATTTCACCTATGTCATACTATGTTTCCTATTTATTATAATTAATCAGAAATTTAATATCACTAGGACACACCGCTGTCACATCTGTTTAAACTGGGTTTTTAAAGGCAAGAATCAAAGTTCCGTGTTAACCAATGATTATTATTTCGAACCCAAGAAGCCTTAATAAGATAATGAAACGTACTTTTAAAGTCGGGAATATTAAAAGAAAGGTTTTTTTAAGAATAGATAGAATAAAGAATACTGTGTTAACTGAAACTCATAAACCATGCGATATAAGCCACAGGAAAAAAAACAGATTTACACCTTTTACCAAGCAGGCTTTAAACATCAGTTTACAAAAACGAATGTGTATTCCTTATATAGTATGTTTTGCATACTCATAAAATTGGCTGAGATGGATTACGTCACAGTAAACAGACCGATTATTGTTAATTATTTAAACATTTGTTCGCTGAAGTAGAACTAAAAAAAGTATTTACGTATGATAGGGGAAACATTTTTTTTAAAGAAAATTAATTTATCACTCTTCAGAGACACGTTTTCTCTTACTTTGTGGATTAAATTCTAAGTGGCTTCAGCTCTTGACCCAGATAAATGTGAAATGCAAAATCATGTCAAGCCCTCTACAAACTTAAACAAAATATAATATACGCGAAATGCCCAACAATTAACTTACTTGACGTCATGATTTAATCGCCATGGAAAAGTTGTTAGCGAGTGTATTGAGTACGGGTTCGAACCCCGGAGAAAATGAGTGATCAAGATTTTAATATACTTGCCTAAAATACTGATAACTAAATTCTTATAAGACACATCGGCACAGATAATGACACGATAAAACATTTGTATATATATAGTATCTCCTGTGATGTTGCGAAAAAACTCCAACCGTTAATAAACAGTTAAATAGTTGCGTATAACGTAACACAGAAAGAATCAGAAACTAATGACTGGAAGTGAACAGAATTGGAACATCATCTCTTAGGGAATATTCCGACGCGGAAAATTAATTACAAAATTAATTTGATGCACGGCCTAAAGAATTGAACTAGTTTTATGAATGACGTGAGAAAGACCTATATAGGTTACTGGGGCACGGCGAAAGTATAACGAAAGATTGATCTTCTCTGCCTTTGTCTACGAACTCCAATTTCATTTAATGTCATTACGAAGCTTATTCAAACTATGTCAATCGCTAAGTTCCTCGTATAGGATTATAACATCAATGTCTCAAATTCGATGAAATATCATATATGCAAGAAGTATAATGAAATTCAGCAAAATAGCAGGACGTGGTCCGATTACATTATTGTAGCGAACACGTTTTGCCTTCGAAGAATAATAACATATAAAGACAGTTTTTAATAGTGATAATGAAAATATTTTGTACAATATATGTATAAATTAGGTAAATATAGTACTAGGTCATTTTTATGTCAGCTTATTTAATGAGAGGTGAGAAAAGAGAAGTGTTTCATTTACTGTACTGTACTCATATATGCATTATGAACAACCATGACTGTTCTAAATTTAAAAAGCCATAGTCACAGAGAAGATAGGCCACTCTGTGTTAGTCCTATAGTAAGTGAAGCTTTTAATTTAAGCGATAATTGTATTGTGAGTAAACCGGACATAGTCTCTGGTTCTCTCTGTGCACTGCGATGAAAATTCCTACCTGATCGATAAATTCGTCGAATTTTGTACTTCGAGGCTAATCACATTCGACTAAAGTGCTTAATAAATACGGAGTATACGAAATATTTGAATTAAACAACTAAATAACTCGGGCATTTTTCGTCGTCTAATATCTTTTAATAGAGCAAAAAAATACATGCGAGATAGAGACGGTTTAAAAGACGTTTGACACTTCAAAACTACCCTGCAACGTAGTAACATGCATACAAAAAAATATCTATAACAAATTGATCACGCATATCTACAAAATTAAACATAAAAAGCGTATTTATCTCACTGTAATGACACACATAATGGCTTGTAAATGATCCGGGATATATTAGGCCCTTATTATTTTATCGGGATATATTTAATCTCAAACATCTAATAAATTAAATAACGACTCGACTTAACTATGGACATTTGTTATATTTAAATAAAGCTTGTAAGAATACCATTTACTGAGATTCTAAGACTTATTCAGTGCCTAGACTCGAGTTAATTTTGGTAAGGTGATATCAAAAATAACACTTTAAACTGTTCAAAACGCGAAATAAATGATAAATATAAAACCCAAACATTTCGCGTTGTAACTCTTATTTAAATGTGTCCCACTCGCGTAAACTATAGACAGTACTTAGGTTGATATTATCAATCTATAATGTTGTATGTTGTTAATTATGATTAATTTTTGAAATATTGTGGGTAGCTTAAAACACCAACAGCTGAAACTCACTATAAGTACAATAATGAGGTCAACCGAAGTCGGTAATTTCGGAAAGTCTTAAGAATTCGGATTCCTGAAGAACGGTTCCGGGGAAACACTCAAACGTGAATTAAAGCAGTTGCTTACTATTTTCTACAGAAAAATGTTGAAAAATAGAGTTTTAAAGCTTCCATATTTAAAAAAAGAAAACCTACCTTCATTTATTTTAGGATGTCTATACACTCCCAAATGAAACTTTGTGTTAAGCGAATTAGTTTCATAGACTTTTTTGTTATTAACTGTAGTATATCTTTAAGCCGCGACTGAATAAATGAAACATCTAGATTATAGGCTTTCGTATTAAGCGTTCTTACGTGTGTCATCACAGAGTAGATAATTTCAGAGATGTGTGAATTGATCTGAACTTAAAGATTCATTGGAGGAGGCCCTCGATGAAGGTAGTGATGCATCCAAATTACCTGAGACCGTATCGCTCTGGGACACTCTTAGCTCCTGCAGTTCGATGGCCGCTTTCTCGCGTCTGAAAGAACAATGTCGAAGTCAAAAATTTATACACATGTAACTAGGTGACATTTACAAATGTCACATCAGTTAAAAGCAAAAGACTCTAAATTTACATTTACTACCAGTTCCTAAATCAAGGGCGCAGAACGAACGAGAAGAACCGGCAAGAAACTCGCCACCACACTCTTATGGCCAAGATACAAGATGCACTACATATTTTTCCTTGTTAGAGCGGGTTCCTCCACACACCCCGAGCATTTTCATCATTTAAATATTGATTAACGTCATAATAACCATTACCAAACAGTCTTTGTTTTAAATACGATTTAAACTTATTTATGTGCTATGGTGATGGATATAACAAAACGATAAGGAGAAACGGTGCCAAGCACGGTAAGCTATTTCAACATATTACGTTATGCAATATATAATGTAATGTTACTTAAAAATTGATTATAGATCGATTCTAGATTGAAAAAAAATTACGACACGGGCAGGACTTGAACTGACATCCACAGCGTTCCGTGCTGCTGCTCCAACCAATTGACCCATCATTGTCGTCGAATTCCTTCAACCTATTGACACATGCAGCTCTCGCACTTTCCTAGTCCTACTTTTACTTCGAATTTAAAACATTTGTTTGCATTGATTAACTTGCAAGAACGACGGGACGCGGCTGACGTCGTGGGTAATTTATAAATATGAGGAGGAAAATTTCAATCACAATTGTGGTGCCTAATATAACTATTCTATGTGGACTAAGTTGCGTTTGCTCGCTACTTAACTAACTAGTCAATTGAATGTATTCTACTATATAAACATATTTTCTATAACATAATAATTTCTTAGATATATACATACCTTAAAATAACAGTAGCTCTAGCATTCTTCTCAGCATCAGAAAAGTTTTCAGCCCGCTGCCCTATTTTCGATTTTTTATCTGGTTCTATGAATACTCCGAGCGTCCGTTTCGGCAACTCATTCGGTGGTGGTGGACCTGGATAATCCAGTTTTGCTCGCTTCAATTCATCCATTGAACGCTCCAAGTTATATATCACTACATCGTCCTCATACCCGAAATCCTTGTGAAGCTTAACCTATAAATCAAAACGATATTTAGGGCCTGTTACCACCAAAAAGTTAAACTAAAAAAGGAACCTTGGCCCGTACAAAACAAATAATTCTTCAAATTATTTAATGAACTTTTGACCTATGATCATGATAATTTTAAAAGTAAGGTCAGGTAGTGAAACAGCTGAACACATCCGACTGAAACAATTTTTATTCTAACCGTACTTTATCAAGGTAATGATTGAGTTTGAAGGGTATAAGGCAAGTAAGGTTAGGTAGATAAGGTAATATAATTGTAGAGATTTTTTGCATTATCAAATGTTAACTTTTACAATATTATGTCGATGAAGGTTACCTGTATATAATTAACAATAAGGTCCATATCATTTAATTTCATTATAGCCTTCTTGTGTAGTTTGAGGATTGTGTACGCCATGGCAGTTATAACACGCTCTCCATCAAGTAAATAAATATCCCATACTCGCAAGCATAAACTGAACGGTACGCGTTCAACAAAACAAACGAAATACCATTTAAGCGAATATAAAATGGCATCTAAACCATAGTTATCAAAGTGGAATTTTAGCTTAGGCATAAACTTTGTGAGTATCTTGTCATGGTGCTCGAGAAATCTTGTCAGCTTTGGAAAACCTTCAATGTACAATCCATGCATGCTGTACTTCTTATCTGAGAGTAAGATAGCTAATGCCCAGAAGGCGTCTTCTTCGTCCATGTACATGAGCAGAACACCGGCTAGTCCAGACATGCCTTGACAGTAACCGACTTCAGAGTTGTACATACTGTAGGCACATAAGACGTTGAAGAGGGAACACTGCTTTTCCGAATATCTTTCCCTATAGAATTGATGTTCTCGAAACTGCCTGTTCACATCTGAGTCAATCTGCCGGACATCCGTGGACCATATCTTGGCTAACTTCAGCATCTCTTGATACTTGGTTGGATTTTCCGATTTCATTTTTTTTACATTTAAAAGCTTACACCATATCTTAATTCTTAGTGAGTTTGGAATGCCTTTGTATATTCGCCTATGCAATTTCTCTTTAGTGGCTGCTGAATCCCAAGAACCGAGCATTTTAACCCATTTCTTTTCTCTTTCAACTTCGACGTTGATCTTTTGTGGCGCCGTTTTTTGAGGAAGACGTTCATCGTGGATGAAGCCATACCTGGAGCGAAACATATAGCATTACACAAAAAAGGATTATATTACACATATATAAGAAATTGGAATAAAAATAAATTCATCAATGCAACAGACAACAATTCGACAAATTGTTGCCCCATGCCCCATATCGTGGGAACGGTGTAGTGTAAACTGTAAATAATCTCGTCTATTATTACTAATATGTCAGCTAAAATCAATGTGAATGGTGTAGCATCACTGTATTCATGTTATACAATTCTAAGTAATGAATGAAACCTTGTTCTTAGATTAATCACTATTACTTGTTTTATGCTCATAATATGATTCTTATTATGGCCAAAAACATATTTAGTAGAAGGTAAAAGTAGTTATTATTCAAAGAACCTTTGAAAGAAAAAAAATAAAAATAAAGCTTTATACTTTAAATCAAATAAACGAACAATAACATTATTAGTATTCGCACTGCAGCGCAGAGCTATTTACCCGAGAAGAAACAATGAATAGAATATATTTTTGCATTGAAATAATTATAATTATTAATAGTGAAACGTCTGTAAAAGTTTTATTATGATTTCTGGCTACTTATTACAGTTAGTAATCATTGGATTTTTAATAGCTAGAGGGACTATATGCCATTGCATTTAGGTATTTGTAAATCGATTGAATAAGTAATCAGTTTAAAATCATTAAGATAAATGTATTAAGTCATTCATAGGTTCGAATCACTGTTTTTGTAGCCTCTATTAAATACAGGTGGACAATATGCTAAAAAACCACAAATGCATGGACGCACACTTTGTTCTTAATGTTCTAGTTTCAAAATATAACAATTAGCAATTAACTCAAAGACTATGAAGCCATGGAAATGTCAATTCATTCCATGAGGCATATAACCAAAGAAAGTAGGCATCACACTTTCTCTTCGCATGCCTCAAAACAAGTTTTTCTACTTAACATGCGAAGCCTTATTCACTTGTTACATAAGACACTTTTTACCCAAATAAGGGAAAGAAAATAAAACCACTGCAGTACTAAAGGTTGGACCTGGGTTTTCTTAGATTCACATAAAGAGAAATAATGTATGGCAATGAAAAAATTCCTATGAAATTTTTAACATATTATGATCTTTAACCTTGTAATATAAAAGTGATTATTTTTTATTTAGATTATAATTCCATGATAGTTGATGGTCAAACACAAAAAGTACATACAATTTTAAAATAGAAATTCGCATAGGTATCGCTAATGTTCGCTACAAACTATACTATGTTAAACATAAAGTCAAGTAAAAGCTATATGAGAATTGTTAATTTAAAGGATTATCAAAGAATCAACTTTTATATATATCAAATAAAACATATACAAATGTAAAACTTTAATAGCTGAAGATATATATATATATATATACAATATATATAAGTATTTGCTTTTCATAAATATGCTATTCCTGTTATAAGAAAAAGAGGTTGTCTAATAGGATATGAGAAAAGGAAACATAGTGTACACAGAACATGGCAGGGATGGCCTGGTCATGTTCTGTGTACACTATGCTTCATCTTCACAGATAAATGGGTAATCAGATACAGATACATTGCTAAATAATAAAAAAATCGTGAAGTGGCGATAGGCTGCTAAATGCACGTTCCTCTTGTCTTAAGGATCTCACAAATTTATCAGCTGTAAGTAATGTAAAGGTCTGTTTTACTCACCTATCAGTTTTGTGGTAGTCCTCGAACTCCGGATCTTCCCACGGATCGATTTGACCGACGAGATTCTCTCTTCCGCGCTCGTATTTCTGAAAGATACGCTCCCTCTCCTCGGAAGCCCGCGCCAATAAAGCTTCCTCATTCATAACACAAGCTGACCGCAGTCGTGCCACATACCGACTTAATGTTCTACTTAACTGTCCTACACGCTTACTATAATTTGCAAACGTTCGCTATCAATTTCAGAATGCTGACACACATTACAGGTCCGTTCACAGAGTAATGTTATTCACGCCCTTTATCTAATCATGTTTCTGATGAACCGGAATCAGTATTACCTATCACGCACTGATTATCAACATTTCGTTACTTAGTCGCCGTTTCATAGCATAAAAACTAAAAGCTATCCAAAAAATAATTAATTACGTAGAAAATGTTCTTTGAATTTCAATTTTCGATGTTTTACAGCCGCCATCAGTGCTTAATCCATAGATTAAATTAAATTCCGCTTTTTGACAGTTACCAAACTCAAGTTCTACCATAAACAAATTTTCAACTTATGGCACAGACGTACAATTGTTATGATGGAATTGAGAAATTAATACGAAAGAAGTAATAAAAGTACCCAATTATACAAGGTTTTCTTTAAATAAAGTCCTTATATCTTCTTCTTCTTAGTTTCTTGGCTTTTCTATAGCGTTGTTCTCTTAATGTAAACTGTCAGAAGTCAAGCAGTCGAAACGTCATTGGCCAGTGCATCCGCCATCATAACAGTGAATAGATAATAATAATTAGCTACTTCGCTGGCACAGTGCACACTGTGTTTGGACTTTAATAATATTTCATAACAGTTTTAAGTTTTCAACCTTTCAGACGTTTTGTTCTGAAACTTTTCGGGAATTTTTAATTCAATCTTATATTACCCGTATTTAAATTCAACGTAGCTGCTTTCAACAAAAATGAACCCAATAAGCCAAGTAAGTTCATTAACCTATGTTTTATCGAATCTGATTTTCTTTTTCTGATTCTGATTTCTTTAGTTATTTACTTCACTTTAAAAATGCATCGTTTTATGCTATTAAATATACATTGTATTAATTATTTCATGTTTACTATAATGTTTTAACAATATATTCATTATATTAACATCCATGGTCATTGATACAAAGTCCAAAGTTCAGAATGGAAAGTTTAAACGATACATCGTAATTTTATAGTAAATAAGATTAGTTCATTACTTTAAATTCATTCTTAGATGCTTCGAATATCCAGGTTACTAAATTAGCATTTTAATAATGTATAGAGGTGAAATAAAACATTATTTTTACTGAATTTTTTTGTTAAATTATTAAATATAAAGTGAAGTTCTGAAATAAACTTGTGTAGTTTTTCCATCTTAAAATGATAATTATATGCTGGTATTTTGTGTTCTTATTATCATGGCTAATAATACTTTTTAATGAGGTCATAAAAGTTTTTCTGTTATCTGTCATAATGGAGATTGTAGGAAGTTGTATTGTTTTGCTTGTTTTTGTCAAATTCAGATACTTGTTTAAAGCATAAATTGTTAGAAATACCTTATTAATCGATATTATACACCATAGCTTAACATAATTTGTTTTTAATTTATACACAAATAAGGAATCTACAAAATTACGCATACAAATACAATATATGTTTATATATTTAAATATTGTACTTTTAATATGGCTATGCGATGTAATCATTTCGATAACAATTAAATAAACAAATAATAATAAAAGAATTGTAACCATGGTGAATTGCTTGAACTTAATTATGCTTGCGCTCTATAATTATGGTTTAATTATTATTATTTTCTTTATATTTAGTCAGGGTGAATAGAAGGCTGGGTAATCAGTCTATATCATTTACTGACCAGTCCACCCATCTCCCCCTTCCACCTTTGTGGTGGATAAAAATTATATTATATATCAAAATTATGGCAGTATGTAAAAGCAATCTGTTTTTCTGTTGTTAAATCTCTGATGTTGTGTATATGTAAGTAAAACTATTCCCAAGTTTTCACGTTCTTGCAGATTGTTCGTGCAACACGACCAATTTATCGCACCCTCTCCACATCAGTAACATGCTCAGCGCAGGCCAAACCTATCCCAACGACTGGCTTGTGCTTTGGTAAGTTGAATCTTTTATTCTAAGAAAATATACAATATACATGTAAGATTCAAGTTTTTAGTCTACACAGATAGGTAATGTGTGTAGACTAAGAACATTTCTTTTGCAGAGTGTAATTACATAATTTATTATGCATGTTAAACTAGTGTCACTTTATGGCTAATGGTGTGCTATATGTTACCAAGCGTTGCTTTTAGTGAAACAAACAATGAAATGTTTTTTTTTAAAAGAGCAACAGTTTTTATTCAAGTTATTATATGATATAATTCTTTGCTACCATTCATCGATCCATCTCTTTGATACTTTAGAAATGATATTACAATGATAACATTGCACACTAATGAATCACTAATCAGATTAGCTAATAATTAAGTGATTATCATTACGTCATTAAAATTAAGGTGATTTCAAAAACTGTACTGTTATTATGATCACTTGTTTATTTGTAGAATCAAAGTTCTAAGTCCTGCCAAACTAACCTTTAGTACACATACTTTGTTTTTATCTTGATTTGCCGACATGATAAAAGTTTTTTAAGGCATTGTTTATATATCTATCTGTTTATAATAGAATAATACAATCTTATCTTACAAAGGTATTAATTATAAGTTATTGTTCTTTGTAGTAGTTAAAACAAAAAACTTCGAACATGAGGCAAATTGCTGAACATTTTATTTTAAAACTACAAAGATTAAGTAATTTTAACTGCATCATTAGTGTCGACTATTAAACTGTTAGCCATAATGAATTTGACTACCATGTGTAATTGTCTAATTCGTTTGATATTAAAATTGATTTAGGTCAAGACAATTGTAATTAATTTTATCTTTACACAAAAAAAAGATAGACTTAACAAGGTGTTGAAATATTTATCTCTATCTTATCACTATGACTTGCTGTTTTTTCGTTTAGTTTAATTGTAGGTGTTTTACGATTTTACCCTTATTTTGTCTCCTGCCAACATGAAGCTTAAACACCCCCTTCGGACAATAGGCTAGACTAGTCCAGCAGTACATTAATCGCTCGCAACTTGACAAGTTGGTTGGTCTAATGGTAACAATGTATTTCTTATAATAAACGGGTCGTGGGTTTGAGTCTTTAGATTACCAAATGTTCAAAGCCAATATAGGTCAATACCGCATGTTGATTATTGGGCTATTTGACCTTCGTGAAATGAAAACACGCTCTGAGTGTTGTCATGAAAAAAATATAAATTTATTCTTTGTTAGTAAGTTGTCGTTGTGAATATTTCAAGAGGCTACAGTTAAGTAAAATTATATAACGCTTATAAGTGAGAGAAGCGTTTATTTCACCTTCGTTTCAAAATGTTTCACAATTATTAAATACAAGTACAGTAATTTGTGAAAGTTACAAAATTTAATGTACCGGGCCGTTGGTTTAATAAAATTTAAATGTACACGAAACATTTAAATATTCACGCTCGGGTCGTGAAAAGTAATAATAATGATATTATAATTCCATGCGTAAATGGCTCTTATAACGCAGTATATATTTCGGCCATAAATGAGGTTTTGAGTATTTTGTAATTTTGCGTTAAAAGGATTCGAACCCAAGTCCAAAGTTTACTGACAGATAGCATTTTAATTAAATCGCGAAAAAGCAGGACTATGGCCCAAGTTAATCTTAAAAGATAGATATTTCATAGTATCGCGGACATTTTTTTTTTGAGATCAGTGAACAGTTTTCCCGTAGCAACGCGATGTTTTATAGCCTAATCGCCTTCTCCGTTAAATATTCTAACATACACTAAAATATTTTTTCAATTTCCACCTACCTAAGATTAGCGCAAACAAACTTTTCACCTTATTATATTAGTGTAGATTTTGGCCATGCTCCACATCGGAAACACTTCACTCTTTTTAATTTAGCAAGGTATGTCTATAGCACATCGGAAACTAATATGTATAATTCCCAGTATATTAGTATTAGCTGTAAACCCTTTTCAGAGCTTACAGACGAGCAGAAAGCTCTGCAGGAGCTAGCGAGGAAATTTACGAAGGAGGAGATTATCCCCGTCGCAGCGCAGTACGACAAAAGTGGGGAATACCCTTGGCCCATTGTTAAGAAAGCATGGGAGCTCGGTTTAATGAACGGACATATCCCGGAGCACTGCGGTAATGTATATTTTTTGTCTGTGGGTTTCTTATTTTAATATTATAAGTGTTTAGGTCAATAAGGACTGCTGAGATAAACTACTGAACGAATTAGAAAACATACTATGGATCGCATTCTACACATATGCGTCCTACTTTTGTCGGCGTGTAGAATATATTATCTTATATATAACCCAATTTTATATCTTCTATATTTAGTATAAGTCTTGATAACGACCATTACTAGTGGCGCTAGAAATTTTATGATTTTCTACGATAAGGTAAAGTATGAATCTATCAAATGATTAAATCCGCTTGTGTTACATAGAATGGTTCTCTCGACTCAAATAGAAAGAGAAATGAGATAATTACATAAAAGCAAGAATTCTTGTTTTGTTTGATTTAAATATTGTTAAATTACGAGTAATTACAGTGAAATTGAGGATCCCAAGGAACCGAGATATATGTACTAATGATTGAGAGTTTCCAGTTATCCAATTTCTTAATTGGATAACTGGAAGTCTTAAAAGGTCTTCGGTTTAAAATTTTAATGGTCTCATCTATAGAGGCAGCGTTTGCTGCATTTATTTAGGTCCCATTTAAACATGTTTCAGTGTATATAATTTGTGTTAACATTACAATAGTACCAATACTCCGTATCTATTCACCCTATAGGATGTATGGAATAAGAAAACTTTATTTTTTTATAAGCTGAATGATGTAAATCCACAGGCGGTTTGGGACTAGGGACTTTTGATAATTGCCTGGTCACCGAAGAAGTGGCCTTTGGCTGTGCCGGCGTAAAAGCGGCTTTATTAACGTCCAATATAGGTGTAAGTCTTCTCTGTCTTATGCCTGGAAGAAGACCTAACAAATATGAAAAACAAGACTAGGAGAACTCTTGTTTAAAACCTGTTATATACATAAATAAGATATTTCCTCCCGGTAACTGGTTTTAGTAGGATTCGTAACCAACCAACCAAGGTTTTCATGGAGCGCTAAAAATCTTGGCGATCAACAGACTGTTGATTTTACAGGGGGGTTGGGCTTAGGTGTTTTGGAGAGTTGTATCGTTTGCGAGGAAATCGCTTTCGGCTGTTCAGGTGTGATGGCCTCACTTTACATCACCGAAGTCGGAGTGAGCAGAAAAGCCAATTATAACGTTTGTGTGTTTGGCACGCATGCGGGCTAATCTCTCTGAGACTCTCTTTCGTTGCTTAATAAAGCGAAATTACAGGGGGTGTAGGAGATATGGGTGTTTTTGAAGAGTGTATCATCGGTGAGGAGTTTTCATTCGGTTGTTCTGGGATTGGCACGGCTGTCGGCGGGACAAACTTAGGAGTGAGTTTGTTATACGTGGAAAATTCTTTTATTTATCTCTATCACTTCTCCATGTATATACAGTGGATTTTTCAGTGTGTCAATTCATCATGCTTCATTTATTTTATACCTATGCGAGTATTTATTTATCTCTATTATATGACGTAATTATCGTGTGTTGTCTATTTTGTCGTTGCTAAGAAATAACTTATATACGAAAAGTGGTTTCTTTATATGTTTAACGTGCCTGCGAAAATGGCATAAATGCTCCTTGGTATAAAGGTAATATGGTACATAAATATCATACGTCTTCATTATAGGAATTCTAACCCAATAATACTTCTAATCTAAATTAAAACGCGAGTGATTCCAAACAACTTGGTTTTTCCATTCTTCCTCTCATAAGGCATATTTCATTTACAGCATTGAACATTCGGTGAATTTGGGTGTGAAATTAGATGGATAAATTATAATTCTCGGTGTAAACGGCTACAAACCTAATCTTTTAAAATTACTCAAGTCTTAGCTAAAGTGGATTTGTCCGAATTTAATGTTTAGAATGGACTGAAAATTCTATACCATCTCAAAAGTACAAGCAATTTTTTCCTCTGCCTGTTAAGAGAACGGCCGTCAAACTAATTAGTGATTATAAAACCATTTAAGTATAATTGGTGGAAGTTTATAAAATTTAATTCGACAATTTAATTAACTGAATACATAATCTCTCGAGTCGTAAAATTTTAAGAATGTACTTACGTCATCTAAATATCATTTCGAGCGGTCGAGAGCTTTCGAGATATCTCGATTCATTGGAATATACCCCGTAACTTCCACAGGTGGTATGGACATGGGAGTTTTTGAAGGATGCTTGATTGGGGAGGAGTTTGCGTTCGGTTGTACTGGCATAGCGACAGCATTAGAAGCCAGTGGTCTTGGTGTGAGTTACAATACAAATGACACGCCATTTGCTAATAACAAAACAATATAAGTCAGAAATGCAAGTCACGGAATCAATGTCAAACACACCCTTATCTATCCATTTTCATACCTACTCGTGTTGTGCAATTGTCCATGGTGTGAGATAGTTGTTTTGTTTGCAGCATGGTCCAGAATTTCAGGGCTCCATGATGACTGGGAATAGTGCTGGTATAACCTGCTTAATACTACTCGTTGAGAGAAAAATGCTTAAATACTGTCTGTAGATTACGCGAGTACACATTTAAATAAAACACTTTAACGGATTAAAACGCGATGTATATTAAACTCAAACCATTTATTTTACAACTTATTATAACTTAAATATTAGCTTAATTAAAAAAGGAGAAGAAAGAAACTTATTTGGAAACAATTTAACTACGGCCCGTGACCACGGCTGCCGCAGAGCATCCGAAACTTCGTGCCGTATATATCGTGTTTTAAACCGGTAGTGTCTTGTTTAAAAGAAAAATGTTTATCAATTATAAACGTACATATAATGTACAAGTATGTATCTAACATTTGTTAATATTATTATAGTTTAAACATTTTTCTCTCGCCCCATTCCTTATACAATTTGTTCACATTACTTTGCTTTTTAACACTATAAATTATACTAACAATATTTTAATAAAGTATTTGTGTAATGTTTATCTTTTCAGTATATACCTATTATATAGTTTGTGTTTTTACGAACTACGCGCAGCATGTTGGTAGTTAGATATATTGTATTTAGGATGTTGAAAGACAATGAAACAAAAAATATGATTAGGACTTATTATTACATACATGATTTTGTTCCTTAAATAAGATTTACATATGAACAATTTTTTTTACCTCAGTGCTTGTAATAAAATAGATAGTTTTTCACGCTTGTGAAGTAGTTAAAAAGTAACGTAGATTAGACTAAATAAATTTATTGTTTGTTACAATGTAAAACTAATATCACTTGCTTCTCAGTTTGGTTCATGTATTCTAGTCCTCTAGACTTCGAAATCCAACTATGTAGTCAACAATCTTATATGACACAATTTTCAGCAAACACCAGTCATTATTGCTGGTAACAAGGAACAGCAAAAGAAGTACTTGGGTAGGCTGATAGACGAGCCCATTGTAGCCGTAAGTAGTTTGACTATTATTTACAAAGACTATTTTGACTTTAGACATTCGAAACGCGATTAGACTTGACGGGTTTATCATCTGTGGACGGTGGTTCGTGACCCGGACGGAATTTCTATATTAGAAATAGAAATACGTTTATTCAAAAACAACACACAACAACAAATAAACACTTACAGTTAAAACTTATTCTACCTAATATATTCCTACCACCCATTTAGTATAAAGATTTCCAGACGATTTCCATCATGTTTCTGAAAAATTAGAAACATCTCGGACCTAGTGGGGATCGAATCCACGACCCATTATTCATAAGCCATACTTTGGCTACCACCACACCAACGAGAACGTCAATGTAACACACGCGAACTGTGTTCCTCATAATCAATAATTGCCCTAAGTTTAATTTGTTACCAAGTTATAAAAACAGTTAACTTTGAAAACGTAATTTTTCACATTTCTACTTTGAAAAACTTTACTACACCGTGGCTTGAGCAGGGGTGCGCTTGGAGACCGGTTCAAGTCGCTTCCGCGTTTCTTTCATTGAAATGGATTTTTTAATTTATATAAGAAGTTTTTACTTTACTGCTTTTTTATTTGACCTTATTGTTGTTACAAAATATTGTTTGACAATTCGCGTCTACGGTAATATAGGAATAAGATATAAAACAAGTCAAATCGAATTAATTTGCCTGAAATTGACGATCGTATTTGGTGTCTGTATTGGAATAAAACACTTCAACGGTTTAAAACGTGATGTATATTAGTTAAACTTATTTTGACTACGGCCCGACGTTTCAGGCGCTTTGCAGCAGCCGTGTCACGACCGAGTGTTTTATTTAAAAGATCATATTTGTTTTTATATTTTAGTGGAAGCAATACATAAGCTACTATATGTTTTAGGCATACTGTGTCACTGAACCCGGGGCAGGATCAGATGTCGCAGGTGTTAAGACCAAGGCTGAAAAGAAAGGTGACGAATGGATCATCAATGGACAGAAGATGTGGATCACCAACGGAGGCGTGGCCAATTGGTAATACTGGCTCGCTTTTGAGACCTGGAATTATATTGACCGACAAAATTTATTGTTTCTCTGTTCTTCAAATAATACACATACAACACCACCTCTCCCATTAACTCAATGATTGTTGATGTTGCGCTGTCGACCTGTTTTGGCTTTGCACGAGTATATTCAGAAATCCACAGAGTGCACCCGAAACGCGATTACCATTTCATATCCAGATTACTAGACGAAGTCCAATGTTTCAGGCAAATTATAAATTGATTAGTTACATATAGACACTTATTTTTTGCTTTAAAGAAAAAATTAAGATCTTAATCATGTTAATATAACCTTTAGTGCTTTAAAACCATTTTAAAACACACAATGAGATCTCATCGCCTATTCGTTTTAATAATATTACTTATTTAGGTACTTCGTGCTGGCGAGGACCAACCCAGACCCAAAATGCCCACCCGGAAAAGCCTTCACTGGTTTTATTGTGGAGAAAGATTGGCCCGGAGTAAACCCGGGACGTAAGGTTAGTCTGCTGGAAACATTGAACATAACATGCTGTTGAAAGGGAATCCAATCTATTGCTTACTAAAATTTTACACAATTGAATTGAGTCTACCAATTGAAATGTAATATCAAAAGGCCTACTTTCAATGACGTCCATGTCACAAAAACATGTTACAGAAGGCACAATTCAGAACGTCGGAGGTTGCAAAAAGTTGTAAATGCTTATAATAATATAATATCTTTCATCGATGTATTATACTTTATATTTATGTAGAGAAAAATGTTCTTACTTACGTAAGAAGTCCGGTTTCTTTTGAGTGATTTCTTTCATTGAAATCGCTGTTACTAATGGTTGAACGTGTCGCCTAGCATTGCATTACACGCGAGAGGTTCTAGGTTCGAATACCGGGCGAACGATGATATTAAGCCGGGCACATAACTCTGATCAACTAATTGCTTGTAAGAAATGTATTCGATCTATGCCCCACACGGGGGGGGGATTATTTAGATTTTATAAATGATTTTAAAGGAGTTAAAATAAAAATAAAACATAATATATCAATAGATATAAAGATAAAAGTTTTATAACTAAGAAGTTATAAACATGAAATTAGAAATTAGTATTTAGAGCCATCTAGCGGCATTGTTGGTACTACCTATTGTTTTAATTATTGTTCACACTATTTTGTCTTCACAAACACAGTGGCAGATAAACTTATTATATACATAAGATTTCTTTATCATTTTTTTACCTAATCCGAATTTAAGTTGACATACCTGGCTGTACTAATATAAATTTATTCTATATTCAAACTTTAAGTTTATGTGTTTTAGCGTGTATATATGTTTTACTGATGAATAATTATTTTACAGGAACTGAACATGGGACAACGTGCATCAGACACTCGCGGGATAACCTTTGAAGATGTTCGCGTACCTAAAGAGAATGTATTGCTTGGCGAAGGGGACGGCTTCAAAATTGCGATGGGTGCCTTCGATAAGACTCGCCCGCCGGTATGTTATCTTATTTTCTCAAACATATGTGGAAATTTGACCATTATTTTGACGACCTTCTTCGAGATAAATCAATCTTGCTGTACTGGTAGAGCAGCAGCCGGCAATAGTCGTATCTATATAAAAAATGAGGCTGCTAGAGCCAGAGTGACCTAATTACAAAAAAAAAGACGAGACAAAGCGAAAACGACGAAAGTTAGGCGAATCTGAATTTGTAATTTTATTGTGTGAGTTTTATATTAATAATCTTTGATCGCTGTAACTTTTAGACTACATAAATAAGTCAAGTCATAAAAAATTGCAGTTAGGCTACTCTGACTCTAGCCGCCTGCAACCATATTTGTCGTGTCAAAATGAAACAACGTTCTACTCGGCAACATGGCGCCATATTAAAAGGTTTAATTTAGAATTCTATCTGGCACATAGAAATGTTAAGCGAAAAATGTCATTTTTTTCCGCGCATCATTTGAGAAAAGTTCTACAACTCTTACAAGCCTTGGGTGCAATTAAAAAACATCGATGCCTATTTTGCCGGACGCATATATAATACGAACGAAATAAACTAGTAATTATATATATTAATATATAAAGTTTGTTTGTTTAAACGCGCTAATCTCAGGAACTACTGGTTTGAATTAAAAAAAGGTTTTTTTGTTGGTTAGATCATTTATAAGGCTATAAAACATATCGCTGTGACTAACTGGCGCGAAGAAACAGCGGGAAATGTCGTAAAAACGGAAAAAATTATGCATCTTTGTGAGTTTCCATTGTGTACGATGCAAAAACGGTTTGAGATACCCAAAAAATATCTATGAAAGAAAAAATTCTATTCTAGTGCATACAGCTATAACTCAAATTAGCAAGCTGAAAAACTAAACTTAGGTAAAAGCTAATCAAGTAATGGAATCTCGTTATAGGTCGCATGCGGTGCTACGGGTCTTGCAGCCCGAGCTCTCTACGAGGCCACCAAGTACTCCCTGGAGAGGAAGACCTTCGGTGTCCCAATCGCGAGTCACCAGGCTGTGGCTTTCATGTTAGCTGACATGGCTATCGGTGTTGAAACCGCCAGATTGGCCTGGCAAAGAGCGGCGTGGATGGTGGACCATGGTAAACGATAAAAATTAAACCGAATGAAGACTTAAGATCGAAAATAAATTGAAAAAATTTTCGACTCGCGCAGGACTTGTTTCATTGATTAACGTATTCGTTAAAAAATTAATAAACTTCTTTTGAATAATATAAGAAGTACTCTTTCTTACACGTGTATTTTTTTTTTCAGGCCAAAGAAACACTATGATGGCCTCAGTAGCTAAGTGCTTCGCGTCCGAGATCGCGAACAAGGCAGCGGCTGATGCGGTCCAAATATTCGGCGGGAACGGTTTCAACACTGAGTACCCGGTTGAGAAGTTGATGCGCGACGCTAAAATCTACCAAATCTACGAAGGCACCTCCCAAATCCAACGGCTCATCATTTCCAGGGAGCTACTTACCGCTGCTAAACAATCAAACGCCTAAATTCATAGTAAAATATAATATCGTCAAAGATATTTAAACCTGTCTTTAGTTTACGCGAGTAGGACACATTTAAATAAAACACTTTAACGGTTTAAAACGCGTTATGTATTAGTTAAACTTATTTGGACATTACTTCAACTCGGGCTCGACGTTTCGGAGGCGACCGTGGCCACGGAGAAATTATAGATGGAGGCTGTCTCTAATATCAAAGCAAATCTGCTAGCGCCATCTGGTTCGTCGTAGTTGGTATTTGGTAAACTGCCCTTGCAGAATTGTCTTCGCGTTTGCCTGTGAAAGTGTTTTACTTAAATGATTTATCCTACTCTCAAATCTTTGACGATGTGACTTTGACATAACACACTTTTGTTGCAAATCAGTAATATATTTACCGACTTTTAGCCTACGTGTAGAAATAACTAAGAATTGACAAATTCAAAACAAAAATAATTGAAAGTAGACTGAAGGACATACCTAAATGTTTTTGCTTATTTAACTATTTATCGTGATTTGACCAAGAGACACATTGTATTTAGACGATATGCTAATAAGATAGGATTTTAATACTAGACGTAAATGATAGTTATGTAGTTGTCTGGGATATAAGGTATTCGTTATCATTATACAGATTATTTTGACTGCGCAATTCGAGAATTGGCACAAAGTGTAGCATCACACAACAGTTTTTCTTAGAGCAAATTTTTATAAACATTACATGTTTTTGTATGGGATAATATTGAATCTGCCGCTATAGATATATTTACTCAATATGTTTTCGATGTGTTTTGTGACATTGTTGTATATGATTTTATATAAAATCTTACTTTTATCTGATGTTTTATTCTGCCATTTCTAAGATATAAAATTGCTGTAAACTACTTAAAAGTTGTAATGATACAAATGAGAGAAAAATATCCGCCATTTTATATTGCATAATGACAAAACTTACAATATTTTAGTAGTGTTTTGCATAAGATCTTATTTATTATCTATACTAATATTAGTTAGTAACTTTGTCTGTCTGTTGTTACACAGTTATTTTAATGCCAAATAGGGTTGATAGGGGTCGAAAAAGGGGATAAAAGTTTGTATGGGAATTCGTGGTTTTTATAGCTAGAAAAATTAAACTTTCTTCTTTGGCTTTTTGGGAATAGGAGTGGAAGTGGGAGTAGGAGTGATGTGAGGTGAGAGTGTTGCGGCAAAGTAGCACTTACAATATAGCATGAATGCCTTAAATACGCTCTTACATAAATTAATAAACAGCCTAAATAATTAAAAATTCTACCCCAAGTCGCTATTCCACGCGGACGAAGTCGCACGCACACCTTGTGTGGTTATAACTTTGATTCCTAATATTGAAACACTTGCTTGCTTTTAGACCATATGATATTGCATATTCCCAAGTTTTATACAAACTTAAGAAATTCATGAACAATGAATTCAAAAAATTATATACAGCGACATCTCTACCACTACTAATGAAATTATAACATTAACTGCAATGTGCTGATCACAAATTACTAATTTATCATTCATATGCGACTACACCAGATTGAGTTAGTAAAACTCTGTCTTGGCGTTACTATCTTATAAAACACAGATATTAGCACATAGGAAAAGCGTCAACGTCCGTAGAAGCCGAATTTAATGTAAACATTTCTTTGAATACTAATACGAAAACCTTTAGCAATTATGTACTGAAAATTTAATTGTTTGTAAAAGTGACATCTACCAAATATGCCTAGGATATTTAATTTAAAAAAACGACATCTATCTATTTCTATGAGCATTAAGTATATTAGTTTATGAAATATTTGTATAGATGCCGGTTATAACAACCGGATGTCGTGGATAATGACGCCTTTATTTATTATTTTCCAGATAAATTGCACTCAGCAACATTCCATTATAATTGCATTTATTGAAAATACAATTTTTAATGATAATTTTTCATGTATTTAAGTCCACTTAATTAAATTGGAACTGTAATGCTTTGCAATCACACTCATACAGATTGACCTACATTCAAAGCCCTTGTGAAAAGATTGTGCAATAGAAACGGTCATTTATTACACAACGCAGCGTATTCATAAGCAAATGTAGTCATTTTGCGATATTTTCATGAATTTAAGCAGAAAATTCATTACGAAATGACAATATTGTATCACAACACAACAAGTTCTTCTTTTATTGTTTAGGTCTTTTTGCTGTAGTTATTTGATTTAAAAAACTGTAATTAGGACAATTATTTGCCAACAAGTCTCGAAGGGGTTTTTTGGGAAAATAGGCCATGACATACTTTTCACGAATTAGGTTAGTTTCTCACTGCCCTTTACCGACTTATTTCAATGTCAGTCATGAGTACAGCAGTCCTATTGAGTCCGAGTTATGTCGGAATATCAAAGTGTAAGTGAAGTGGCCTAGAGACCTACATTTGTGTTTTATTTGGAATTATTGGTTTTTGTGAGCACATTTTGAGAAAGAACATTTTTCTTTTATGCCTAGATGGTATTTAATGTATTTTGCGAGCAGCTTCTAGTTGTTTCGCCCGAAAATCTGTAATGATGCACGAAGATTCTCCGAAAATGAGTGTTGCGCAGGGTTTGGTTGCTTCTACGAGCCAGGTGAAGACCGACATCGAAATAGAAAATCCTATCGAATATGACCTAAACCTAACAGAAACGAAATCAACAGATAATAATATTGAAATGGAGTTGAAAATCGCGTATGTGGACTCGGCAAATGGTACGTAGCTAGTTCGAAGTAAAAATGTAATATTTAAGAATATCTGTAATAGATAATTCGTTTAACCTAGTTATAGAAAAGCAGAGAGTATTAGATTGAATCGAATTCAACTTCCGACAACAGGTGGTGAAAAAACAGATGAATAATCGATGAAGTAATTTACCTTTCAAATAATATTTTGAGAATCATGAAAGGTAATTTCGAATAAGACTCGATTTGGAATATAAATAGAACGAGTTTTGGGACATGAGGCCGAAGGCATTGTGAATAGTTTTATTCAAAGCAGACAAGTGGTTGTATAATAATTACATTGTGCATTGTAATTTGTTGAGTCCATGGTAGTCTATACTCTACCTGCTCGTACGCTCGGTCGCACGGTGTGGCAACGTCGCTTTCGTTTTCGCGGTAACGAGGGAAGGAGTCGGACGAAGTACCTAATTTAAAAATGAGTTGGCTCTATCTTTCTCCTACAAGCATAATAAAATCGAAAAATGATTTATTAAAAGTAAGCACGGTGCGATTTTGTTTGAATGTATTTTAATTCGTGTCAGTAGGGCACAAAGTGTCTATTATATAGTAGCCATATTACGTTCGATATGAAGTAATCAGTTCAGTCAGAACGCTCGCTTTCAAACCACAGATAATATTATGAAGCTCTCTAGTTTTGATATTTTGCAGATTGGTGATTGAATACCACCATAATGATCTGGTATTGCGTAAATGCGTATTTTGGGAAGTAGGCCGAACGAACGCTAGGTGAATATTGTGTTGGTTGCACATTGAAATAAGATTATAATCTATGGCACTAGAGCCTTTTTATTGGTGGTGATAGACAGGCATGGGGCTAGGTGAAATGCCCCAGTCATATAACATAGAAACAAGATGCGCGGTCGGCCTATTTTAGCTTTGGATTAATTCATTATGACTCTAGAATCAGCCTCTTTTTTAATAATTGAGGAGGATAGACAATCACGAGGTTCACTTGATGATAAGTGAATACCCCAGCCTATAGCATCTAAAGAAGATCTGCTGTCGACCTATTTTGAATTTGGATATTCTGAAACCACATACTGAAAGCGCAAGTCGATTAAACTTCATTTTCGTTTGTGGACGGTGGTTCATGATACGGACTGAATTTCAATATTCCTACCACCTGCTATATCTATATCTATATTTCTTATGTGGCTGCAAGATGTTCTTTACATATGCATACATCTAAACCAAGTTAGTGTTTATTCTAATTTATTAAATGGTCGATGATGATGATGAAAACATTGCTGTTTTTGCGCAATTAAACAAATCGAGTTTCTTAATTTGCGAAACCGCAAGTTCTGCGCCAAATCACAGAAGTCATTTATAATTTTTCAAAGATGTAGAGTCGTGATCTGCAAATCTCGTTTTTTATGGTAGATAAACTTTGGAAACTTTGGACTGGAATCGAAACGCGAGTGAACTTGACGAACATTAAATATAAAATAATATTCCTAAAAAATATTTACGAAAATAACGTCTTTATCTTCTCACACAATTCTAACATTACATGTCAAAGCCAAGAAAACCTTCAGTACAGGCTTAGTCCACAAACGGACACAATTAGTTATTCCATGAGAATTGACAGCGTATTAACTTAAAGGTATTAGAATGGGGCTTTTATCTACCACCGAGTAACCACATAATTTAACAGAGGGACATAAAAAACGTATTTTATGACGAGAATTCAAAAGGTGTAGTAAAATCGATTTAATATTAGTTGGAACGCGAACTATTGTAAAATTTCATTGCTTTATATCTACAAGTACTATGTGCATATGCCAAGAAACCGCGAGATAACTGCGGCTGCTAGAGGCAGAGGGGCCTTATAATAAAAATACATGGTTTTTATTAAAAAGGAGAGCAAAGAATCGTAATTAACTTAGGCGAAAAAAAAATTGTATTATTATCTGTGTACGAATTATGTTAACAATTTTCGTTCACTGTACTGATGTGGGAATTTGTTATCTACATATTATATTCATTCAGACCTCTAAATAAGATCGAACATCCGAACGTCGGGCCTTAGTTAAAATAGTTTTCAAATAAGTTTAACTAGTATACATCGCGTTTTAAACGGTTAAAGTGTTTTACTAAATAAATGTGTACTACTCGCGTAAACTACAGAGTATTTAAGATTAATATTATATATATTTAATCATTTTTCGAATTTGTATGACAAAATAAGTATTTGGTATTAAGCCGAAAAAACGCGAATAGGCCGACTA